ATGCTGCTTCTGAAGCTAATTGGATCCTTCTCTGATGTTGTGTGAAGCTGGACACTGGGTGTGTTGGGTCTGGGGCCTCTTGGGGGGACCCTGCTCCAGACCAATGTCATTTGGTGCCTGTGACTGGCCTTGAGTACCCTGTTTGGGGTTACAAAGCATTCCACAGTTTTTGGCTTTCTCTGCTGGGCCTGGGTGTGTGCAGGAAGGACCAAGCCATGCACCAAGGCCAGCTTTTACCAGCACCAGCCTAGGGGGAGAGCAGCAAAATTCCCAGAGTACTCCGAGGCCCACCTCCACCTTTGTTCCTCTGCTTCTCTCTGCTTTTGTCTGCCGGGTGCCTGTTAGATCAGTCAATGAAAGAGCCTTTGGCTTTACTCAAGTTGCATGAAGTAGTTTCTCAGTGAATCACCAGGTAGAGGTGAGTTATATTCACCAGATTGATACATATTCAAATTCAGTGTTAGTGCTGTGGTTCTGGGGACACTCAGCAAAAGTCCTAGGATACACCAAGATTAGCTGCCACCTGCTGAGTTCCTGTAGACCATTGTGGTGTGGCAGGATCTTGGATTTTTCAAGGTGATGCCATCAGAGTTTATTAGGCCCAAACAGGTCAAGATTTGACTGTGTGAAGGGAGAGCTCTTCACTGGCCAGGCATGTGAGAGAAAGAATTTCCCTGTCCTAGAGCCACACCATTTAGCCTGTCCCAGACTCTTCCAGGAGCCTATTTTCAGCAGAGCAGAGCCACCAGGGGTGGGGAGAGTGGGGTTAAAAGATCTCCTATGTGGGGGAGGCGCCAGTGAGGTTCATAGGAAAGCGGGGGGAGTGCCCCCACCCCAAAGCGCAGTACAACTTAATCACTGACACCTCTTGAGTCTGCCCAGACCACTACACCCTGGTCTAGGAAGCTGATGCCTCAGCATAGTTCAAGTTCCAAAGGATGGTCTCAGAAGCACTTCAGAAGGTGGGGCTATTGCTTTCCCCCACACTGATGCCTAGGAGGGGAATGCTCCACCCAGGAAAGATGGCATCTGTGATGTGGGGGAGGGACTCAGCCTCCCTTTTATTTCTGAATAGAATATACCACAACTTGTGTATCCATTAGTTTGTTGATAGATATCCAGGCTGTTTGGGGATTTTACCTATTGTGAATAAAGCTGCTATGAACATATTTGTATTGTCTTTAGGTTGGACATATGCCTTTTTTTCTTTTAGGAGTAGAGTTGCTAGGTCTTTGGGTAGGTACATGTTCAGTCTTATAAGAAACTGCCAGCCAGTATTGCAAAGAAGTGGTACCATTTTATAGTCCCACCAACAATGTATGAAAGTTCTTACTGTCACATATTCTTGGCAACACCGATGTTGCCAGTCCTTTAAATTTTAAACATTCACCATGACTGATTTGGCTCAGCAGTTGGCCTGTGGACCAATCATGGATTTGATTCTGGTCAAGGGTACATACCTTGGTTGCAGTTCAATACTTAGCCCTCATCAGGATCGTGCGGGAGGCCATCAATCGATGTCTCTCTTTCATTGATGTCTCTCACCCTCTCTCCCTCCCTCCTTCCCACTCTATCCAAAGATAAGTGGAAAAATATGCTCAAAATATGCTTGGGTGAGGATTTGAAAAACAAACAAACAAAAATTTAACATTCTACTGAGTGTATAGTGGTATCTTTAATTTGCATTTCCCTTAGACTAATTGTATGTGCAGTTTTATGTGCTTCTTGGTTATTTGCAGTACTGTCTTTGTGAAGTGTCTGATCAGATCTTTTGCCCTTTTTTTTAAATTGGATTGTTTTATGTTTTGAGCAGAAGTTTAATTTTGGTGAAGTCTAATTTGTGAGTTTATTATTTTATTTATTTATTTATTGGTATGTGCCCCTAGCAGGAACCAAACCCGGGACTCTCTGGTCCGCAGGCCAACGCTCCAACCGCTGAGCCAAACCGGCCAGCGCTGAGTTTATTATTTTATAGTTCTTACTTTCTGTGTCCTAATAAATCTTTGCTTTATCCCCATATGATAAGAAGATATTCACATGTTTTATTTCAGAAGTTTTATAATTTTAACTTTAATGTTCAGAACTATGATCCATCTTCAGTTGATTTTTGTGTTTTGTATGAGGTAGAGATTAATGTTCATTTTTTTCTTCCATATGGACATTCTATCTTTTTTTTTTAAGAAGAACATTAGTTACCCTTTAGATTTGGCACCTATTATATAACATTAAGTGACTGTATAAGTGTGGGTCTCTTTCTTAATTCAGTCCATTGATCTATTTGTTGATCTTTATGCCATTATTATACTTTGTTGATTACTCAGTTTCTTGGTAATCTTAAAGTTAGATTGTGTAAGTCCTACAACTATATTCTTTTTCAAGCTTTCTTTGCATATGTTAGATCCTGTGGATTTCTATATAAATGTTGGAATCAGCTTGTCGATTTTTAGAAAACCTGCTGTGATTATGATTTGAGTTGCATTGATTCTAAAGATCAATTTGAAGAGAATTACAGCCTTAATAATATTGAGTCTTTCAGTCTGTAAACATTTCTTTACATCTTCTTTAATTCCCCTTAACATGTTTGATAATTTTCAGTAGAGGTCTTGCATGTCTATGTTCAATTACGTGTTTTATATTTTCGGGTGTTATTGTACATGTTTCTTAAATTTCATTTTCTTAGTGTTTGCGTCAATATATACAAATACAATAGGTTTTTGTATAGTAACCTTGTATCCTGCAACCTTGTTAAATTCATTTAAGTCTACTGATTATTTTGTAGATTCCCTAGGACTTTTGAAATAAATTTATAAACAGCCATGTCATCTACAAATAAAGTTTGTTTTATTTTTCTCCTTTTTATTATTTATGCCTTTTATTTCTTATTGCATTATTTAAATATCTAGGTTTTGCAGTACAATTTTGAATATAAATAGTGGGATATGGAATTCTTGCCTTGTTCTTAGGGGAATAGCATTCAGTATTTTACTATTAAAAAGGCTAGCTGAAGGTTTTTTGTAAATGTAGGTTAAGGAAGTTCCCTTGTATTTCTAGTTTGCTATGAATTTTTATTGTCAATGGGTGTTGAATTCTGTCAGATACTTTTTTCCTGCAACTATTTTTTAGTGGTTACTCTAGAGATTTTAATATATATATATATTTTGTATCATTTCACATAAAATGTAGAAACTTGCAATTATGTAGGTTCATTTGCCCCCTCCTCTTGTACTTTTTGCTGTGGTTGTCATATGTATTACATCTACATATCTTGTAAACTGCACAGTGTATGTTCTTTTTGCTTTGAAAAGTGATACATTTTAAGAAAATTAAGAGTGAAATCAGTCTTTTATTACATACCCATGTGTGAGTCATTTCCAGTGTTCTTCCTTCCTTCCTGAAAATCCAAGTATCTATGTGATGTCATTTCCTTTCAGTTTGGCAGACTTTTCTTTAGCATTTTTCTTAGTGCAGGTCTGCCATTAAAAATGCATTATATTATTTTTCTTTTATCTGAAAATTTTTTTATTTAATTTTTATTCTTGAAGGATATTTCCCTGAATATTACACCCTGGGTTGACATGGGTCCCTCACTTCCCTTTCTGTACTTTTATTTTATTATTTCATTCCACTGTTTCTGGCTTTCATACTTTCTTGTGAGAAGTCATTTAACATTCACCTTTTAGTACATTCTGTAGTTTTTTTGTGTACAGAATAGCAGCAACTAAAAATAAAGATAGCCCGGCCGGGTGTGGCTTAGTGGTCGAGTGTCGACCCATGCACCAAGAGGTCACACCAATTTGATTCCCGGTCAGAGCACATGCCCAGGTTGTGGGCCTAATCCCCATTTGGAGGGTATGTAGGAAACGGCCCATTGATGTTTTCTGTCAACTATGTTTCTGTCTCTCCCTCTCTCTTCCTCTCTCTCTAAAAATCAATAAAGAAAAAAAAATTAATAAAGATAATTTTATATCTTCTATTATTTTTATAGGTCATTTAGTTTTTTAATTTTATTAAATTATCTAAAACATTCAAAACAATGTTTAACCATTGTAGGCATCTCCATGTTTCTGATTTTAATGGAAATGGCTTCAGTGTTTCACTGTTCAATATCTTACTTGCTCTTATTAGATTTGGAAAAAAGTGTCATATTTAAGTAGTGTCCTTTTATTCTTATTTTAGTTCTTATTAGAAATGGTAGCTGAAATTTGTTAAATGCCACTTTAAATTTTGATGCAGTCACAGACAATTAGCTTTTTAACAAATTGGATTCAGAAGCTTTTTATTTAGGTTTTCTTTTTGCATCAGTACTTATGAGTGTATTGCTTTAGACTTTTCTTTTTTTGAACTATCTTTGTCAGGTTTTATTAATATCTTAAAACCTTTTAAAAATTAATTGCATACCTTAATTACCTTTTTTTCATTTATTTCTTTTGTGTAGATAATTTTGTTCTTCTAGTTTTATAAATGAACAATTAAGAGTCTTACTCAGTTTTGTTGATTTGCCAAAACAATCTTAGAAAACCAATATATAGAAACCCTACAGTACATACTTTTTAGTGTAATTTTATTAAGGATTTCAAATGTTTTTATATAAAGTTAACATTTTTTCCAAATATGTATCCATGTTATTTTGTGTGGTTGTGTGGTCTGAATTTTTACTGTGATCTTTTGAAACACATTTGTTTCTTATTTAACATTTCTTTTTTTCTTCCACAAGCCACTCAGTACTTTTATTAAAAGTCTAAATCCTAAATATGTGTAGATAATTTGGAAGGACTTTTATTGTTTTTAGTAGAGAACCTAATTATTACCAATACTTTGAGTGTGTTTATGAACGATTATTGGAATTTGCTGTGATCTGGGTTTTATTGTTGCTTAATCTTGCTCTTTTTACTATTTAATGAGTTGTAATAACTTTTTGGTCTTGATAATGTTTGAGTGTTTGGTAATTTATACATATATAACAATAATAACCTGCTTATCTTCCTTTCTTTTTTTAACAGTTACATGGGAATCGGTCTTTCTGCTCAAGGTGTGAATATGAATAGACTACCAGGTACAGTTGAACTATATAGTAGAGTCTCATAGATTTTTGTGGCTAAAACTTTCCATTAATAACTTGAAATAGTTAAACATATTTATTTTCTGTATTTTTAATCACCTGTACTGTGAGTTCAAAGTGAAAACTGAATTTTTAAAATAAATTAAATTTTTTTTACTATTTGGCATAACATATATCCCATGCATTTTTTTGTTTTGTTTTTTACCTGTTTTGTTTTTTGTTATTTTTAAACTTCCAGTACATAGTCATATCAACTTTAAATATTTTAATGTGGTTTGTTCTGTTTGCTCTCCAACACATTCTTGGCTTTTAACCCATTTTCAGTTGTTTCATATTCTGGGAATGTGGGTCTGGTGTTAAAAGTAAACTAAGGAAGGTATAAATTCAGATGGCAGAACTGTTTCTTGAAACTATTAATCAAATGGAAGTAATACTTGGATTATATGTTCTGGTGTTCTATTTACTATTGTTTAAAATTAATTTGAGGAAAAACATTTTGAAAATAGAAAGCAAAATAGAAAAATCTTCTATTTTATATTAAACTGTGTGTGTGTGTGTGTGTACCAAATCAGAGCAAAGTTCCTTTGTTCTGTGTGCTAAATTTTTTTTCCTTAAAGTTGTAAAAAACAGTATTTTAATATAGAATTTATATAGAATTCAATATAGAATTTGTTGAGAATTTAAATGAACATTTGGGAATTTTATCTCTGTATTACTTGTACTATTCTTGCTTATTTATCATAATAATGAATAGCTGTAGCACAGAGCAACTTTACATTTTGTTAATATACTGAAACTTTTCCTTTAGGCTGGGATAAGCATTCATATGGTTATCATGGGGACGATGGACATTCATTTTGTTCTTCTGGAACTGGACAACCTTATGGACCAACTTTTACAACTGGTGATGTTATTGGCTGTTGTGTTAACCTTATCAACAATACCTGCTTCTACACCAAGAATGGACATAGTTTAGGTACTAAGTTAATGTATTGCGTGTAAAATAACCAAATACTGTGGTTATTGTACTTACATCATGGTAGTCATAGTTATTATGTAATTCTCTTCTATAAATAGATGCCCCTGGAAATTATTTCTTTGTTCCTCCCAGGTGAATGTTGAGAAAATGGTGGAAAATGTAGTCTATGAAGGCCACGTTGTATCCCATGTATAGGAGTAACTATAGAAATAAGTCCCATGCTTAAATATTTATTCTAGTAATAGAAATGCTAAGGGTTTTCTGCTTTGCTTTGAATAAAGCCCTTCACAGTGTGATTCAGTTCTCTAGGTTAACAGGTGTTAAGAAAAAAGGGCTGTCAGTTTTTAGTCCTGCGTGGGGGTAAAATAAGGAAGGGAAAGCTTGATGCTACCAACCAAATGAAGGGCATTGACACCGTAAAGATCATTCCTGCTAACAAAGATTGATAAAGGATGGTGACTATAAGTTAGTTCTGCAGAAGGGATCAGAAGTAAAACAAGCAAATAACAGCAAAACTTCTGAGAATGAAAGACGGGTGTAGGTGACTAATTAAGAAATAAATAAATTGATGAAAACATGAAGATGTCTGTCCATTGTAAGACTAATAATAGAAGGTTAGGGTTTTCAGTTAAATATGAACTCAAAATACTTTGAATTTAAAAATTGTAAATGGTTGTTACATTCCCATTTCATAGAAATTCTTTTAGTTTTTGTTTTTTTTTTGTATTGCAGCAAGTTTAAAGGATAGCATGATTCATGTTTTAAAAATAAAAAGGTTTCACATGACTTTTACTGTTTGAAATGTCCTTGATTCATAGCAAATTGTTTTTGATGAAAGGAAGTGAAAGAAGGCAAAAACCAAGTAACCTCAGAAGACAGAAATTTCATTTGGCTTATAAACAGTATTTAAAAATTAGACAGCAAATAGTATGCTTAGATATGCAGTAGATATTCTTTAATATAACACAAAAACGATTCTTTCATTTTATAGTAGAAAATTCTAAATTTCTGGCTGCATTGGTAATAGTTATTTTTTTTCTTAGTGTCTCAACATATACTCCTAATGTAAAGTTAGTGTCTTCTTATTTATGTTTGGCTTAAAACTTTTCCTTCTAATTATTAATATTTATTCTGAAGTCCTGTGTTATCTGACTTAAAGATTATCCCAAGTCCACAGAAGATTCTTATACACAGAGTTGACGATTGAACAGGTTTGAACTGTGGATTTTTTTTGGTAAATACATAGAGTACTGTAAATGTGTTTTCTCTTCCTTTTGATTTTCTTAGTAACATTTTCTTTCTCTAGATAATTGTAAGAATATAGGCTATAATACATATGATGTGCAAAATATGTTAATCAACTATTTATGTATTGGTAAGATTACGTAGGTCAACAGTAAGCTATTAGTCGTTAAACTTTTTAGGGGAGTCAGAAATCTGTGTGGATTTTTTAACTGCACAGAGGTCAGTGCCTTTAACCCCTACTTTGTTCAAGGGTCAACTGTATTCTTATCAGTACAAGAATGTCAAGGGTACCATGCAAGTTATATATGTATTTGTAATTTGTTTGTCGTGGCTAACTGGTTTCTAGAAAGATAGAGCCCCTTCAGTTGATTTGTTGTTAGTATTCTGGCTTTGATTTATCAAAGCAGTTAACTGGGGTAGTTTGACTTGGCTTTGCCTGCTAAAGATATTTAATATCTTCAACCAGGAGAAATTCTGTCTTAGGTGAGACCTTTGGTTCAGAAATGCAAAAGACATTTTTAAATTAAAATTAGTCTTTTTACAGTTTTTAAACTTTATTCCATAGAAGAAATTATATTTTGGAAGATGGGAAGAAGTAAATTTTTTTTCTACTAGATTTTTCACAGATACGTAAATTTAAAGAAAACTGTTTTTTAAATGTGAGATTTTTTTTAAAGGATGCATAATGATGGAATTATGTTCTAACTTTAAGGAAACATTTAGCTTTTTTTACTCATAAATTAATAAATATTTATTACACATATAGAGAGGCAGCGTCACAGTGGTTAATATGGGTTGTTTAGTTGCCTGGCTTTGTCTCCTGATTTAGGCCAGCCATGTGACCTTATGCAAGTTACTTAACATTTTCTGTGCCTTGGTTTATAAAGTAGGATCACTCTAATATCTACTTTATTAAGGTTGTTAAACTACACTGAAATGATGCATGTGCAGTTCTTAGGTGAAATGGTGTTTCTTATCGTCGTTTGCCAGACTCTGGCTAGGTGTCAGGGATGCAGTCTAAAACATTGGTAAGCAAAATTATTTCTTTAGAACAGAGGTCACCATGGGCCAAATTTGTCTCCTGTCTATTTTTTAACTAAAGTTTTACTGGAATGCAGCCACATCCATTTTTACGCACTGTCTGCGACTGCTTTCCTGCCGCACTGGCACAGTCGAGCAGTTGTAACAGACTCACGGCCCAAAGAGCAGCGCGCGCTCCCTCTGCCCCTTCGTAGGAGAGTCATGCACGCCTCCAGTCCAGGGTCTAGCATCTGGAGGCCAGTGTTAGTCAGCTCACATTCCTTTGTACTTCCCCGAATGGGTCATTTTTACCCAAAAGCTGATACAGCTTTAGTTTCTGTCTCATGCAGGTTTTAAAAATATATGTTTATTTACTATAAAAAGAAAAACGGGAAGGTTTTTATTTGAGAAACTAATTAAAGGAGAAACATTTCAATATCCAGGTTAACTTAATTTGAATTTTGTTTACTCAATTTTAATGAATATCATTCATCAATTAAAGATCACTTCAAAAAGCCTCTTGACAAATTAGGAAATTAGAAATATAAAAAACTTGTTTTTGGTATATTTAAATAATTATACCAACTTATTAAACTGGCATCTTTTTGTGGTCTCACTGTGTATAGACTGTGGTAGCTATATTTGGCAGTGGACAAAAGTGTTAATCTATGAAATTAAGTTGGGGCTTTCATTAGTATGTAGTATAAAGAAAGAAGAGTTCAGTAATTAATGGCAAAAAGGAACTTTTTACTAAAACTATAAATTTAGGCAGTTTTTGTTGTAAATATATATCTTTGGAAAAAATAGTTGATTAGGCTGCTATTTTATGAAAAATGGCAGGTATGTATGGTAATATTTTATTGAAATATTTTATTTATTGTTTCCCGAAATTTTTAGAATAAATTTTTCTATTTGGCCCATAGTCACTTTGCTTTCTATTTATGAATGAAACAAAAAGTAATCAATATTTTACTGGAGTGGCAGGGCATGAATTTACTAGTTTTTAAAAGGACTTTAACTACAAAGTATTATTTTTATGCATTTCTTTTAAAGCATGTAGTAGAGATTTGTAATCAATTTGTCTTTTAACTGTAGTACTTTCATGAATAGAGTCAGTTTTCTGATGGTACAGCACAATTATAGAATCCCAAGTAGGAAAATAATTTAACAGAAATGCCCTCACTTTTTCAATGACGATCAGCACCATAGGGGGTAGTGCTGGTGTGATCTTTTATTTTGTTTTAATATGTGTTTATACTGGAAGATTTGAGATTAACCAGTTTACGAATACGATCCTGTGGAAACATTTGGTTTATTTTCTTATTTTCAGTTAAGTAATATATTTTAATATTTTAAGGGAGATTATTAAATAATTTGGGAATGCCAGGAGATTTATTCTAATGATATTAACATCATTCAAGTGTATTTGGAAACGGACTGTTGAAATTTTTGTCAGAGGACATCCAAGAGAAATTCTCAGCTATACAGATCTTTATTTTTTGAAGGAGGAGGTGTTTGTTTTTTTCCAGTGTAGTCAAAGGTTATTCAAGAACGTACTTTTATAAGACATTTTTTAAAGAAACAAAGGTACTGTATTTTTCATTGCTTACCTTTTTATTGCAACAGAAAATATTTCCCTTCCTCTTCAGATTATTTAAAAGTTAAATCTAAGAGACGAAGATTAAATAAGGCTGGAGAAAGCACCTTGGGTATTGGTTAAAATTCAGATGTGACTATTTTGCAACCAATTTTCTTATATGATTTCTAACATAGCTTTGAAGGTATATCTAAAATCATTTTTTAAATCTTGGAATCAAGAGCAGTGCCCCCAAAATAAAATTGGTGTGTGCTAATAAGGAAGATGATCTTGAAAATTGGGTCAGTACTTGTTCCGACCTGTTAGTGTTATTGAGAAAAAATTACTTGTTATTTTATATTTGGGTTTTTAATTTTTTTTTCTTTTCTGTCTTTGCCATTCTTTTTCTTCATTTTAACTAGAAATTTAGCTTGTCACCATAGTCTGCCTTTGAAAAACAGCTTCTAATGCCACTTTGTTTTTTCTTCAGGTATTGCTTTCACTGACCTACCGGTAAGACATACTTTTTTTTAAAGCAGTTTTGCATTTTTAATTAAATGAAGTATAAAGAACTAGTAGTGAACATATTTAGAATGTGTTCTTACTGACATTCAGTTTATATGCCATGCATAGAATAGAGATCTCTAGTCACCATTGGTATAGACCTGAAGAAATTAAGCTTCAAATTATAGTGGACACTATTGCGCAAGGGAACTTGGTTGTAGCTAAAAAATAAATCAGAATTTTTTTATTAAAATACACTTTTTAATGTCACTATGCATTTATTTGAAATATGTTTCTTTGATAACGTTACACTTTTCAGCACGTGACTGTACAGTAGTTCTAGTCATTTGTTAATTCAGTGTACATTGCATGCCTACTGTGTGGCAGTGGTTGTGCTTGGATACATCATTCAAGAAAACAGGTAAGGTAAAAGTCTGTCCTCTTAGAGTATTCAAGCTGGAGAAGTTAGACAATAAATAATACATTAAAACTAAGTGAATTATGCTCTGGCCGGTGTGGTTAAGTGGTTAGAGCGTCGGCTTGCACACTGAAGCGTCGCGGGTTCAATTACCAGTCAAGGGGCATGTACCTGGGTTGCAGGTTTGATCCCTGGTCCTGGTTGGGCAGCATGCAGGAAGCAATGAATCGATGTCTGTCATATAGATATTTCTTTCTTTCTCTTTGTCTCCTTCTCCCTCTCTCACCTCCTCTCTCCTTCCCTTCCACTCTCTAAAAATCAGTGGAAAAAATGTCCTGTGGTGAGGATTTTTTTTAAGTAAATTACAACATTTTTAAAAGGTTTTAAGTACTTTTCAAAGAAAGAGAAAAAACAGCATGGGAGTACCAAACAGAACACAAGATGTACAATTTGTTCACCTTTGCTCAGTGTAAGATTTGAGCAGAGGCTTTTGAAGAAGTGAGGAAGATAAGAATGTCCCAGGCAGAGGGGAACAGTTAGGGAAGTGGCACTAAAGCAGGAGTATGTCTGGTATGTTGGAAGAATAGCATGAAGTGAGGTAGAGAGACCTGAGAAAGGTAGAGAGTGGTAGGAGATGAGTCAGATAATGATGGGGGTGAGGGGATTGCTGGATCATCTGGACCTTGAGGGCCATTGTAAAAGCTTCAGCATTTACTCAGTGAAATAGACGTTACAGAGTTTTAGTTATGACACAACTTTAGTTTTTACTTTTATTTATTTATTTTTACTTTTATTTAATTGTTTTTATTGATTTTTAGGGAGAGAGGTAGAAACACTAATGAAAGAGAAACATCAACATCACTTGGCTTCCTCCTGCATGCCCCCCACTGAGGTTCGAGCCCACAACCCAGACGTGCCCTGACTGGGAATCAAAACAGCAACCTCTTGGTGCACTGTGTTCAATGTTTGGTACTCCCATGCTGTTTTATTCTCTTTCTTTGAGCCACATCAGCCGAGCACAACTTCAGTTTTTAAAGGATCACTGGCTGCTGGGTGGAAAAATTAGACAAAGTGGGGAATAAGGGTAGAGACAGACCTGAGAGGGTCTATTACAGGAATCCAGGCGAGGAATGATGGTGACTCTCACATCACTAGAGACATGAGAAGTGTGATTCTAGGTACCTTGTTTACCAAATCTAAGGCTCTGTCAATTGTAATATGCATCAGATGTAACACTAGGGAGGGAAAAACTAGCAAACTATCACTTAGAGTTTTTATTTTACATTTGTCCACTGATCTTTGAGGATATTTAATAGATTTTTAATCAGTATCACTTGTTGTATACCTAAAAATGATGAAATAGCAATATAAATTGTCTATAAAGTGTCCCCCAAACTTTTCATATTCAGAGTACAACTTTTTAAAACACTTTATTTTAGAGTTGATATTGGTGGTTTTCTACATGACATTGTCTTCCATGCCATCAAGAACATTTCTGAAGAGTTCTCCATTATGTCTGTGGCATTTTCTTCCAAGCTCCTGACTGCATCTTGCAGGTTCTGATGCTATCACTTTCTTAATACTGCCAGAAAGTATTAACTAAAGATTTTCAGACAATAGCCAGGACTCTCGTATTCCTTTCTTAGTTGGCTTGTTAACTAAGATGTTTTAGAGTGTTGCAATTATCTAGCTGTTTCACCAGGAAAAATAATCAAATCCCAGAGTTTTCCATGCGCTCATTCTTGAACAAATTCACACCTGTGCAGTCAGTGATGGCTGTGTGGCCACATGTAAGATGCCATCTATATTTTAAAACACATTCCTATTTCACAGGTGTTTTGAGATGACAGGAGACTCAGAGGCAGAGAGTAGACATCCAATCTATAGATTATTAATATACCTTAAAACTATGAAGAAGTCAAAGTTATAATAGAAGGAACTTTGCTAAGCCAAAAAAAAAATTCAGAGTCCTGATAAGAATTGCTCACCAAGAGCATTATTTAGTAAGTAATGATGGCACAAGTTTTATTTATTTTTTAAAATATATATGTAATCTTAGGATTTTATTTTATATTTATACCACAATAAGTTCCAGATGGATTAAAGAGTATGAATAAATACGATTTTTAAAAAATCCACTGAGAACTGCCCAGCGGGGTGGCTCAGTGGTTGAGCATTGACCCGTGCATCAAGAGGTCACTGGTTCAATTCCCGGTCAGGGCACATGCCCTGGTTGTGGGCCTGATCCCCAGTGGGGGGCATGCAGGAGGTGGCCAATCAATGTTCTCTCTCATTGATGTTTCTATCTCTCTCTCCCTCTCCCTTCCACTCTCTCTGAAATCAATAAAAATTAAAAAAAAAAAAAGAAAAAAAGAAATCCACTGAGAACTAAGATAATTTCCTGATGAATTGGATGTGAAAATGTGAGAAAGAAACTTTCTTCAAGATTTTGGGCCTGAGACCTTGACAGAGTGGCTCAGTTGGTTGGAGCATCCACCAAAAGATTGCAGGCTCAATTCCCAATCAGGGCACATACCTGGATTGCAGGTTTGATCTTTAGTTGGGGCACATATGGAAGGCAACCATGTTTCTCATGTCCATGTTTTGACCCCCACCCCCACCCCCCCCGCCTTCCTCCCTCTCTGTAAGCATGTCAACCAGTGAAGATTAAAAAAAAAAGAGCATCTGGTGAAGTGGGTGGGGAGGGGTGGTGGAGTGTAGATGTGGATGCTGGTATGTGGGTTGATGGGGTTCTGAACTATTGCAGAGGGTTTGTAAGTTTCATCTGGAATTGGTTAAAGGGTTTAATACTGGGGTGTTTTGTTTCTCGTTTTGTTTTCTCTTTTTGTGGTACTAAGAAAGTAAAATAACTTGACAGAGCAAGCAGATGTCTTTGTTCCTTGTTGGTAGGTATTGGTGATCATTTATTTGGAAAAGGCTTAGCTGGTTGTGGACATGCCGACTATTTTTATGTTATCTTCCAACTATTTTTTGTCCCACTTTAGAATTACTATTGTGTTTTGCCTTATTTATAATTAACCATTGGTGATACTCAGTTTGTAACAGTGTGTAAAGTGGTGGTCATGGTGATTGTGGTTTGGTGAGTTCTTTGTTGTGACTGAGATCTTCTGGGACTTCCACATGCAACATACCTATTCTACTTAAAAAGGAAGGAAAAAGTCTTTCCCACCAAACAAGCATTTGTATGTGTTCTGTACCTGTGATCTCTCACTTTTTAGTTGTAGTATTAAATTCTAGTAGAGAGTGTATTTACAGAACAAAAAGTTTACCTAGACTGTATTACAGTTATCATGCAGCACAGGGTGTTTTTACAGCTCAAAAACTGGAGATCTACTTCAGAGTCATGTTTCTCCCCTAGCTCACCTCACCAGTTTGAGAAATGTCCTCCTATAAACTGACTAATTCAGTGTGGGGTAAAGTAAAGCAATTCTCATTTAAAATGATGCTGCTTTCCAGTTCCTTAGGCTAACTTGAAATCTTTTTATAGATAACATTATTTGCTTTTATTTTCATAGAAAAATTCTTTAAAATATAATAGAACAAAATTATGCTATTGAGAATATGATTTTATTGTGTATATTTAGTTTTTGAATAGTATTTTTAATATGTCTTTATTTTTTCCTAAGGTAATAAAAATGAGATGTTTTTCTATTCTTTTCATAGAGACTTAAATTATTCTCACTTTTGTCTAATTCTACATAGGCAGTAATGATTTTTTTTTTCTTTTGAGAAACAGTTTCCTGGGAAACATTGTTTTACATAAATCCATAATCGAGATACATTCTACAACATGGATGAACCTGGGAAACATGGTAAACAAAAGAAACCAGTCACAAAGACCATACATTGCATTATTCTGTTTATACAAAATGTACGGAATAGGCAAATCTGTAGGGTGAAGATTAGTGGTGGTCAGAGTTACAGTGATGAGGTATGAGGAATGACTGTGAATGGGTAGGGGTTACTTTTTGGAGTGGTGAAATGTTGTAAAATTTGATAGTGGTGATGCCTGTACAACTCTGACTAAACTGAAAACCACTGCATTGTTACATTCTACTTTTAGAAATCTATATCTTACAAGTTAAAATTTTTTAGATTTTTTAAATTTATAGTTTACCGGTTAAATGTTATATCCTTCATTCCTTTCCCTCATATTCTTCTGTTTAAGGTAAAGAGTATAAGAACTTATAGTTGGTCACTTTTCATTGAGCCCCTTCTGACTTTATCATTTTCAGTTTTTTATCAATTTCTAATTACAAAAGTAATTGTGCTAAATATTCAAATAATAAATGTTTAGAAATACACAAGTGTGCAAAAGAGAAGTTCCTCAAAATCCCATCCTCTTTAGATATGATGACTGTCTTAACTTGAGTGTATATCCTTCCAAATCTGTTTCTAAACTTATGTTAGCCAGTATATTCATTGTGTAAATGTTCACAGAAAAGGTGGGATTATAGTTTATGCACTATTCTGTAGCTTGCTTGCTTCTTTTAGTATTATATATTGTGCATCTTTATCAGTATACACATTTTTTACTCTTTTTTGCTTATTTTTATAATTTAACATTTATGAAATGGGGATGCATCTTAGGATCTATGGTCTGTCAGAGTTTAATGGGCAATGCTTTTTCTTAGACATAAAATAATGGCATATCATAATTATTGGAGTCTGAGTCTCGAGTATATAACCACCTATAAATGGACGTTCTTTAAAATTTTTAATTTGCAATTACAAAAAGTGCTATAGGACATATATCTTTGCTTTTCTGTAAGATTAAATTCTTAAAAGTGAAATTGCTTTGTGAATTCTAATAGATTTTGCCAAAATTTCTTAAAAGATAGTATCAGTTTACATTTCTGTGTACAGTAGATGAAAGGGCTTGCTTTCTTAGTCTTTTAAATCTTAACCTGATGTGCAAAAAAAAATCAAATTGTTTTTGCATTTCTAGAAATTGAGAGTCTTTATATTGCAATTGAATTAGTAATCTTTGTCCACCTGTATTATGAGAATTTTTTTATATTTGAAATATTGATGCTTTCTCTCACATGTGGCAGAATTTTGTTCTGTAAAGTCAGTTTGTCTTGACATTCATGGCAAGTTTTGTTGCAGGGAACAAAAACATTTGAAACGTTTTTATATAATTTTTTTTTAATATATTTTTTTTCACACTATTACTGAAACCTTTTTATGGCAAATTTAAAGTATTTATGAATGCTGATTTTCTTTTGTAGTGTTGATATGAGTTATTTTCCTGAATTTATCAAGAAAAATTAGATTAGCAAACCATTTTAAAAGCGTCTCTGTTTGGACATTGCTGAATGATCAGAATTAGAAACTACTTAATAAACAGGATTGCCTTTTATTCTTCTTATATCCTTATTCAGAGTCTTTGGCTTTATATACTTTTGTTCTAAAATACATCATAATTTTTTTAATATGGTTTAATGGAAAAAATACTGTGCTAGAAGTAGAGAGATATGAGTTTTTTTCCTACATGTATGTCATTAACAAGAGGTGCACTATTGGATAAATTCCTTAAATTCTTTTGGTCTCTTTTCTCATTGGTGAAATAAGAAGAGTGTAATAAATATTTCACTTGTATTTGGCTTAAAATTCTATTAACTTGCTAGTTTTGTTATTAAAAATAAGTACATTTTTGTATATTGCATTACCATTTCCCCTCCTAATCCGGTGCAACTATATTTCTTAATATTTTAACACAGTATGCTTGTTTCTGATTTGGTTGCTTGGTTGATCATTTGTTTTTAAACACATTTTTCTAGCTTTTTGCTGTGAAATATGTTTAAGCATCTTATATTATACACAAATTATGCCCTTGTCATCTTTATCTAATTTTATACTGAAAATATTTATTATAACTTTTAAAGCAAAGAAATAAGACATAAATACAGAGAATGAAGATGAAGTAGGATTTGAAGTTCTAGGAGGAAAAAATGAACTTAGATTTGACGTAAGATAAACCTGTTCCAGTCTCACGTCTGCCATAGTGTAGAAAGACAACCACCAAGTTACTTTGCCCCCGAGCCTCAATTTCTATATTTTTTGTAGTGCAAATAATAATTACTTCACAGGATTATTATAATGATTAAACATTGCCATTTAGTAGACATTCAGTAACTCTCCCTTTAGATGTAACAACTAGTGATAGAGAGAAAAGAACAACACTGGTATTTTTTGTATACGAAGCTATTCAATTGATTGTTTAGCCCCTAAATCTTAGAGTACATCTAAATGCATTTCTTTATGAATTTGAAATTTGAAATTCATTCTTTTCCTCTCTTGAAATATATGCATTTGAGTCTTTTATTTTTATATCAAGAATCCTCACTCTTAATGGTACTTTTTTTTTTTATCCTCACCCAAGGATATTTTTTTTTCCTATTTATCATCAGATGGAGTGGGAGGAAGGGAGAGAGAGAAACATCGATGTGAGAGAGACACATCAACTGGTTGCCTCTTGCACAACCTGACCAGGGCAGGGGCCAAACTGCAACTGAGGTACATGCCCTTGACCGAAATCGAACCCGGGACTCACTGGTCTGTGGACTCAATGCTCTAACTACTGAGCCAAACCAGCCAGGGCTAATGGCACTGTGTTTTGCTTGTAATTATAAACATTGAGTGATCGGTTGCCTCCCTGTTCACCTCAGCCAGGGCCAGGAATCAAAACTCCAACCTTTCAGTGTATTGGAGGACGTTCCATCCAACTGAACCACACTGGCCCGGGCCTGTATGATATACTACTTTTTTTTAAAAAAAATATGTTTTTATTGATTTGAGAGGAGGGGGGAGGGAGGGAGAAAAGAAAGAAAGAGAGAAGCATCAATGTGAGAGAGAAACACTGATCCGCCATCTTCTGTACATACCCCGAAGGGGGGGGGGGGATTGACCCAAGACCTGGGTATGTGCTCGGGCCCAGAATTGAACTGGTGACTATTTGATACATGGGATGACACTCAACCAACCGAGATACATCGGCCAGCGCTATATGACATATTCTTAAGAGCAAGGGTTATGTCTTTATTTCTATGTGGTCTCTGAAAAAATAAAATAGGTACTGAGGTTGCCTCCTTTTGTTTTTTTAATCCTCACTCGATTTTTTTTCCCCTCCCATTTATCTTCAGATAGAGTGGGAGGGAGGGGAGAGAGAAAGAGAGACACATTGATATGAGAGAGACACATCAACTGGTTGCCTCCTGCATGACCCCAGCCAGAGCCGGGGACCGAACCACAACCAAGGTATGTGCCCTTGACCAGAATTGAACCCGCAACTCTGGTCCTCGGGCCAACCATTCTAACCGCTGAGCTAGACCAGCCAGGGTGGTTGCCTTTTTTTTTTTTTTTTTTATGATTAGATGATAGGGAATTATATTTTCTGTCTCATATCGATTGTATTTTAGAATATTTGTTTTCGTTTTCCTCTTTGGATTGAGATTTTAAAATATTTAACAAAGAAAATTTATAGTTTTGTTATTTTAAAGAGATGCATTTGAAAGAATGAATGTCTTTATCGTAGAAGGGATAGATAGATGCTTAGTGAAATGTGTTGTCTTACAGCCAAATTTATATCCCACTGTTGGGCTCCAGACACCAGGAGAGGTTGTTGATGCCAATTTTGGGCAACATCCTTTTGTGTTTGATATAGAAGACTACATGCGGGAGTGGAGAACCAAAATACAGGCACAGATAGACCGGTTTCCTATTGGAGATCGAGAAGGAGAATGGCAGACCATGATACAAAAGTAAGTGAAGAACTTTGAGTGGACATTATTCAAAAGTACTTTTTTAATAAAATATTTTTGGTACAAAAGAATATTTGTTGAAGCTTTTTAATATACTTATTTACAGCCAAATAATTTTAATATATTGATTATATTTTAATCTCTATAAAAAGTAATTCGCTCTATTTAAACAATTAAAAATATTTGATTTGACGGCAACATGCAGAATAGTGTATTAGTCTGACTTACTAATTTGATGGAAGAAATAAAGTGACACTAGATTACATAAGTGAGGTTAATTCATTTTCTATCATTAGTAATAGGATTTAATGATTTCCATAGGTTACATGATTCACTAATTAATAAGGCCAGTGCAGAAGATAAATTTAGTAAGATAATTCAGGATCATGGTTTTGGACTGATTTTGACTGTTGTTCAGCAATAATTCAATTATTTATGGAGAAACAGAATTATTGCTCATTAAGAATAAACATCAAAGTAATGGGATAGCTTATATATTGGAATATAGACTTAATGTGTACATTTCACTTTGTAGGGTTTGGCTCAATTTTTCTAGTGAATGGGTTACTCTGTAAGAATAATGTCAGCTATTTTTGTTTACTAAGATCTCTTTTTGCTAAATATTATTGATCATGTAGAGTTAGGAATGATATAATTGCTCCTATTCTAAATAGAAAAACCTGATCAAAAGCCTCTGGCTTAGACCTTTTTAAAATTCTTACGACTTATTTTAATGCCATTTACTTTATGGGCTATTGTTAGACATTTAAAAGGAGGTATAGGAAGTGAAGCCGAGGAACAGTGAACGTGAGTTAGGATTCCTAAGTTCAGGATTAATACTTCTGATCCAGTAATCACAGCAGTAGAAAATGGGCAGCAGCAGAGCACACACTGGGTGTCAGAAGTACTATAAAATGAATAACCTTTCTTTCAACTCATTTTTTACTAAAGAATTTCAATTTGTTTATTAGGGAGCTTTTTATGAAAAAGTAGGATTTCATTATGGAAGTCAGCAGGAAAATATAATTCCTATGACAGCCACCTTTTTAGACTATACCTTTGCTGAAAGGCTCAAGATGACATCAGATGTCAGTAGTACTAAATGGTAGCTCTTAAAGCTTGAAAAAGTATAGACTTAAAAATTAAATAAATACCAGTAAGTTTAAATAGTCATTTTCACTATAACCCAAGAAAATGACAAAGGCTTTAAGATACCATCAGTCTGACACAGATCATCTTAAATGTCTTTATAATTGCTTTGAACAATATGAAATCTACAAACCTAATAAAGCTTTTTGTGTATTCTTTTTGGAGGAGATAATGATTAGAATATATGTTGATGAAAACATGCTGCTTCATTCGAGCTGTTATCTTCAGGTATGACAGAGAGTCTACACTAGTATTTTTGTCCTGCAGTTGAAGGAATAGCAAGTGAACCCTGTCTCAGAATCTCAGAGTTATAGACATCACACGCAGCAGAATTTTCACTGATACAAAGCCTAAGGCAAGAGAAACAAAGGAAAAAATTAATACATGGGTCTACATCAAACTAAAAAGCAAAAGAAACAAGCATCAAAATGGAAAGGGAGAGCATAATTGCCACTATGTGGGAGAGCATAATTGCCAATGATACATCAGATAAGGGGTTCATTTCCAAAATATATAGAGTATTCATACAATTCAACAAAAGGAAGACAAAGAACCCAGTTGAAAAATGGGCAGAGGACCTAAATTGAGACCTCTCCAAAAAGGACATAAAAATGGCCAAGAGACATATGAGAAAATGCTCAGTGTCACTAATCATCAGAGAGATGCAAATTAAAACAACTATGAGGTATCGCCTCCCACCTGCCGGAAAGGCTGCCATGAACAAATCTTCAAACAACAAGTGCTGGCGAGGGTGTGGAGAAAAGGGAACTCTGGTACACTGCTGGTGGGAATGCAGACTGGTGCAGCCACAATGGAAATCAATATGTTGTTTCCTCAACAAATTAAAACTTGAACTTCCATTTGACCCAGTGATCCCACTTCTAGGAATATATCCTAAGAAGTTTGAAACACCATTCAAAAAGAATGTACAAGAATATATGTACAATTGCTAAGATCTGGAAACAGCCCAAGTATCCATCAATAGATGAATGGATAAAAAAAGCTGTGGTACATATACACAATGGAATACTATGCAGCTATAAGAAAGATCTCTTATCCTTTGAGATGACATGGCGGGACCTCGAGAGTATTATACTAAGCAAAATAAACCAATCAGAGAAAGACAGATACCACACGATCTCACTTATTTGTGGAATATAATGAACAAAATAAGCTGGTGAACAAAATAGACCCAAAGACAGAAAGAAGTAGGGTTCAGACTGACAACCTTCAAAGGAGGGGGGCCAAGGGGAGGGAAAAGATAAACCAAAGAACTTATATACGTACATATATGCATAACCAGTGGACATAGACAACAATGCTGGATGCGGGGTATTGGGAGGAGGGTGTCTATGGGGGGAAAAGAAGAAACATCTGTAACAAAAATAAATTAATTGAAAAAGAAAAAAATATATGAGAGCTGAATATCAAGAAAAAGAAAAGAATCTCAGAGTTGCCATGAATTAGAGCCAGCATAAGGTGCTCTCCTGGGATCACATCCCTTTAATGCTTTAAAAATGGTCACCACTGAGCATCGTGGCAGGATAGTAGTTGAGGAAACATCATCTTATCCTATAGCCTGAATTCAGTGAGGGCCCCAACCCCATACTTTATAAAACTGACACCGTGAACTCCTAAAAAGTTTATTTTAAAAGGTTCTCTCCTTTTAACTATTAGATTAAATAAAATGAAAAATCTTTTTCTTAGATACCTGCCCCCGAGTCAATCCCCCTTTCCTGAACCACTGCTTCCTACCATTTCTAACAGATCTTTAGTAGTGCCACGTGGAGGCAGCTAAGAGTTGAATATGTGGGTATTTTGGCTAGTGCCACGTGGAGGCAGCTAAGAGTTGAGTATGTGGGTATTTTGGCTCTCTGGTTAATACTGCTTAGTCTACAGGTTTTCTAACATTTTGTGGTTAGATGTAAATATGTATTTTGACCACTTGCTGGCTTTTAAAAAAATAAACTTGTTCTTTGGAAGTGTGCCGCTTACATATAAATCACATTTGAGTAATTAACCTCCTGTGCACAACCATACTAATCGATTTAGATTAGAAGGCCAACTTCTCATTGATTAGGATTATCACCCTCATAGAATTTTTTCTGGAAGATTCTCCAGGTTCACCTTAGTATTTCTTGTGTTCACACCTTGTGATCCCATGTAACTAATAGATAAAGAAAGGGGTTGAACTTCAGAATGCAGAGTTAATCTGTTATTTTAAATTTGTTTTATTTTACAAAATGAAAACACTTAACTGGGATAAGCCGTGAACATGAAACAGCTTATGGTTAATAGAATTAAATATAAGGATGGGTGATATCAGAAAATACCTGGATATAATGGGATGTCCTTGATTCTCTAATACTTACTTTTTGAGATAGTCATCTCAACATAGCATTTGCAGTCATCTTTTTGGAAGAATTACATGAAAGAACAAAACGGTATTTTGAACTTCAAACTTGAGGTAATATACTTAATTATTTCAAGGGAGTTGGTTAGTTTTGTAACACCAGGATAGACCTTGTTTATATAAATTGTAGAATGAAGCATGTGTTCTCTTGACTAAAAGTTGTGTGTTTCTTCTTTTTATTTTAAGAATGGTTTCATCTTATCTAGTCCACCATGGGTACTGTGCCACAGCAGAGGCCTTCGCCAGATCTACAGACCAGACCGTTCTAGAAGAATTAGCTTCCATTAAGAACAGACAAAGTAAGGACTTGTGGTGCACAGCTGACACCTGTTTTCAGATTCTAGGTTTGGTTATACTGGTTTTTAGAAATTGTATTTTCACATTAAAATTTTTTAAAATAAATTTTAAAATTGATGCTTCCATTTATTTTCATTGATGTTTTTAAAGATTAGTTTTAAAGAAAATAGACATAGGACTTTGGTAGTGTCTGGATGTAGAAAGATAAAATTTTGGAGAATTTTTTGTGTTTACTGTTTTTTCTTTAAGAATGTTTTATTGAGCTTTTAAGAAATAAACATTTAATAAAATGGGACTTTTTTTGTTTTGTTTTTTTTCAATAAAGTAGTCCCATGATTAGATGTTAGTGTAGGTAATATTTGAAAGAAATTTAAATACCTTTGCAATTTTTTTTTGGTCCTCACCTGAAATATTTTTACATTAATCTTCAGATAGAGCTGGAGGAAGAGAGAGAAACATCAATGTGAAAGAGACACATTGATTGGTTGCCATCCGCACAACCCCAACCAGGGCCGGGGATGAACCGCAACCAAGATATGTGCCCTTGGCTGGAATTGAACCTGGGACTCTTACCTCTTACCTCTGAGGGTTCCACGGGTGATGCTCTTACCTCTGAGCCATACCAGCCAGGATTAAATACCTTTGCATTTAATTTGCTATCCGAATTTAAGATAGTTTTGATCTTAAGTGTTTATTGCTTAGATTCTAGTGCTTGTGGCCAGAGCAATTGGTCCTGTTATTAGGGCAAGTCAGCATGATAACTGTTCAATAGTTAGCCATCCTAAAGTTGGTACAGTTAGTCCATCAGGGAGGGTATAACTTGATGAAAATATAGGCATAAAAACAAAACATGATGGGCAAAATCATGATGGATGAAAGCATTTTTTATAGGTCAAACTGCTATAATAACTGACCACTTTGCGTTGTAACTACTGTATGCTTTGTCTCACTACCTTATAAGCTCTGGTGAACAGATGATCAGTTATCTTGGTATCCTCATCATCTAATTTAACAGATACCTGGCACAAGGAATGCTCATTGAATGTTAAATTCAGATCTTACTCCAAGTCTAGCATTCTTTTAGTACTGGGTTCAAAAGATTATATTTGATAAGATATTTTGATTATTATTTAATGTTTCCTGTGGTTTTTTTTAAAAACCACTCTATCAAGGTATGGTTGACATCAAAAACTATATATTTAGTGAATGTAATTTGATAAATTTGTGATTAGTATGTGTGTGTATGAAATCATTAACATACCATATATGCCATAAACATAGCCGTCTTATTTTTTTTACTCCGCACCCAAGAATATGCCCATTGATTTTAGAGAGGGGTACAGAGGGAGAGAGAGAAAGCGTGAGAGAGAGAACATTGTTGTGAGAGAGAACATTGGTTGGTTCTATATGTGCCTCAACCCAGGGGCGATGCTCCACCAACTGAGCCACACCAGCCAGCAGAAACATAGCCATCTTCTTTAAAAATATTTTAAAATTGATTTTTAAAGGGAGAGGAAGAGAGAGAGAAACATCACTGAGGAAGCAAAACATCTTATCAGCTGCCTCCTGCACGCTGGGGATCAAGCCCATAACCCAGGCATGTGCCCTAATTGATAATCTAACCTGAAACCTTTCGGTGCATGGGACGACACCCAACTAACTGAGGCATGCCAGCAAGGGCCATCCTTTTAACTTTATTGTTTATTACTTCATTATTACTTAACAGGTGTTTTTTCTATATTATTTGTATGATAGTTTGTGCTTTTTAAAAATAGTTTACGAAAGTACCTGTTTTTTAAAATTTTGATTTGTCTGAAATTTTTTCTTGATTGCCTGGTAGAAACTATGATTTTAGAAAAAGAAATGGAAATTAATAAATCATAATAATTTATTTTAAAATATTATACTGTCATTTTTTTGTTGACAGTCCACTAAGTATATATTTCTGCTGTTAAAAAAATAATCTTTTGCTCTTTTTCTAAATAGGAATTCAGAAATTGGTGTTAGCAGGAAGAATGGGAGAAGCCATTGAAACAACACAACAGTTATACCCAAGTTTACTTGAAAGAAATCCTAATCTTCTTTTCACATTGAAGTGAGTTTGTTTAATAAAATATTACATTTATTATATATGTGTGTTACATGTAACCAAAATCATTTCCGTGTTTTAATTTTTGTTTTACCTTCTTTCAAATATTGACATAAAATTTTGTAATGTAGCACATGAACAAATGGCATTTTTTGCTGTGTATTTGCTCTTCTGTCATTCTCTCTCTGTGTTTTCTAATGTGAAAATCTTATTTAGGGAAATGGAAATCTATTTTTCCTTCTGCGAAGTACCTTATAGTAAGTCTGTGACCTTTTTAAAAATTGTGATAAATATACATAACATAAAGTCTGCCATTTTTACATGTACAGTTCAGTAGTATTAAGTAGATTCACGTTGTTTTGTAACCATCACCAACCATCCATCTCCAGAACCTTTTTCATCTTTCCAAACTAAAACTTGGTGCTCATTAAACACTAACTCCCCATTTCTCCTCCTTCCACCTTCTGGCAAGTAACATTCTGTTTTTCTGAATTTGAATTTAACTACTCTGGGTATCTCATATAAGTGCAATCGCGATATTTATCCTTTGTTACTGGCTTATTTCCCTTAGCATAATGTCCTCATAGTTTTCTGTGCTGTAGCACCTGTCAGAATTTCCTTCCTTTTGAAGGCTGAATGATATTCCATTGTATGCATATACTAGATTTTGTTATACATTTGGATTGCTTCCACTATTGGATATTGTGAAAAATGCTGCTATGAGTAGGGGTGATAAAATATCTGTTGGAATTCCATCTTGTTTTTGCATACTATTTGTTTTGCTACCAAGTGCAAATAGTGTTTTTGATTAAATTATTTGGGGCTATAAAAGGAGTCCATTTTGATTTTGTTTATTAGAGCTACAGATAGATTTTCACTTAGTAAATCTTGATTAAAGGAGATAAATATCTTTTGTATTATAGTCTCATTTTTCTGGAACATTTTTAATTTGTAAGCAATAGAGTGTATGAAGCCATATTTAGAGTTTTTAGCATACTGTCTAAAGGCCAGAGTTATTGATAAGTACAAGTTCTTAAAATAATCTTTCAGAAATCTGTTGCTATTAAATAAATGGCTATTTGAAGATTAAATAAAAAAAATTTTTTTCTTATTTTAGAGTGCGTCAGTTTATAGAAATGGTGAATGGTACAGACAGTGAAGTACGATGTTTGGGAGGCCGAAGTCCAAAATCTCAAGACAGTTATCCTGTTAGTCCTCGACCTTTTAGTAGTCCAAGTATGAGCCCCAGCCATGGAATGAATATCCACAATTTAGCATCAGGCAAAGGAAGTGCTGCACATTTTTCTGGTGAGATTCAAACTTTATATTATTGTTAGATTTTGCCCTTCTTGATATTTTGAACCAAAATAAAATTTTAAAAAATCTAGACATTTATGTGTAGCAGTTTTGCACATGTGTGTATACTTGACCTCAAGATATTCTGGAAGAAAAATTGTAGGTGGATCAGATGCATGTGTTTTTAGTACCAGGGTAACTTGAAGAGCTGATTCTGGCAGTAGGTTATTATAGCAGATCTTCATAAGCAGGCTAATATCATAGATATTTGGTAATGAAAAGATATTTGTATGTTTTAATAAAGTATAAATTTAAAAGTGATGTGGCTGTGATGTCTTAGGCCACCATTCACCAATTCTAGCTGGACTGCCTGCTGTCTCTTTCTTTCTCAAACAAGCTTCAGTTCATTCTCTCCCATCCCTTTTTTGGCTCATCAGCCTTACTTTCCAAAGCTTTTAGTGTTCTCTTAATGAGAATTCTCTCCTTTCTTGGCTTTTATGATCACTTCTACAAGTGTATTTCTAATCCTTAGTCTTCTTTCTTTGCTTGTCTCTTTTATTCCGTTTTTTTTTCAAGGTGTTATCTTTCCTTTATACCAGGAGGTGGGGAATTTTTTCTGCCAAGGACCATTTGGATATTTAAAACATCATTGGAGGGCCATACAAAATTATCAAATTAAAAAATTGCCTGCTGTATTAGGTCAGGCTAATTTGTGAGGCGTGTGATGTTAGCTGGTATTGATTTCTCAGGCCTTATGTGGCCCGTGGGCTGGACATTCCCTACCCTGCACTTTCTAAAACAGAAGTCAAATGCTGTTTCCTTTCCTTTTATAGAATAATACCTTTGCTTTTTCTCAGTCAGCATATTCTTTTCTACATTGTTGTCTCTTTTTGTATCACCACCCTGTACAGTGCAGACGATTCTCTTGTTTGTATCTTTAGCCACTACTCCTTGAATATCACGCAGTCACTTCAGATTTGGACAAATTCTTAGCCTCAGTAAAATGGGGGTGATGATAACACTGCCCTCATGAGGGGTTGATCCATAATGAAGCCTTCAATAAATGTTAGAGGAGATGATAATTACAGTTCACAATCAAGTATACTTATATCCTTTCAAAGAAGTGAGTTGCTTGTTTACTATTTAAATAATCCATTGACTCTCCTATATTTTAAATACGGAAATCAGAATATGGGTACATTATTTACAACCTCATAATAAATTAGTGTTTTTTTCTATTTTTATGACCTTTTTCTTCTTTTTTTCCTCCAGGTTTTGAAAGTTGTAGTAATGGTGTAATATCAAATAAAGCACATCAATCATATTGCCATAGTAAACACCAGTTATCTAATTTGAATGTACCAGAACTGAACAGTATAAATATGTCAAGGTCACAGCAAGTTAATAACTTCACCAGGTAAGAGATTTCTCTAGCTTTTGCATTATTATAAGCAACCTAATTACAGGTGTTTTCACTTTTAATAATTAGGAAAAGTTGAGTTATATGGCCAAAAATGGAGGTCTGAGAATTCCCAAACCTCCAGGGAATAAGAGAGTAGGGAATAAGTTCTCCAAAGTTTTTCAGTCCCTCTGTATGCACATAGGCTTTTTCTTTTGTTCCTTCTTCTTACTCTCCATTCCCTCAGCCCTTATAGTGGGGTTATTAGGACAAGTCCAGGGCTCTGCAGGCTGTTCTTCCTGCCACTGCAGGCCTATACAGATGATCACATACATGCTTTATTATGTTTCCAAGTCACAGTGTTGTATCTAACCTATAGTATTAACATGAGACATTTACAACTATTTTTTCTCTGTGTGTATATTTTTTTGGTGTAAATATATGTGGAATGTTTCCTGACTTTCATATAACTAATTATGCAAAGACCCTTATTTGAGAGCCTGTCTTTGAGTAGCTTGATTATAGCAGACGTAGTTAAGTCAGTGAATATAGAGGAGGATAGTGTTGGGGACCTCTTGGATGTCAGCCATCTGCCATACAGGAAGAATGCCTCTTCTGACTTCAGAGAACTTCCAGAGGAGAGATGGCTGTATCACTATATTATGACATACTCAAGGTTAATGTTCATGAAACTTTTTAAAGGCTCCTGAAATGTAATCACCTGAATTGAATACTAACGTGTGAAAGCAAGTTCTTATGAATTCATCAGCCTGCCCTAATCATCTAGCATTTGAATCTCAGTTTGGTTTAGAATTCATGTTATAACATTTTTAAAATAAAAATAATGACCCTGGCTGCTGGTGTGGCTTAGTTGGTTGATTATCATCCTGTGCACAAAAAGGTCGCTGGTTTGATTCCCGGTCAGGACACATGCTCGGGTTGTGGGTTTGATCCCAGTCAGGGTGCATGAGGGAGGCAACAGATCATTGTTCGTCTCTCACATGGATGTTTCTCTCTCTTCCTCTCTCCCTAACTCTCTTTCAAATCAATTTTTAAAAAACACTTAAAAAATGATAGATTTTATCAATTTGGTGTTGGTTTGGTCTTATAACATGAATTGATTGGTCACTGAATTTTGGGGAATGTTCTTCAGTGCAGAATTTTTTATCAAAGGAGAGAGAACATAACTTTTAGCACGGACTCTTAATGGAAATAGGACTCCAGAGAAAGGAGTACATGTAAAAATCTGTGTTTGCAAATTTGGAGATTTATCGGAATCTCTAGGTTTTCTTTCACAAGTGACAAAAATTTACTGAAGTAATGGTGTTGTGTGGTACAGGTTATAATGGAAGTCCACAGAAGTGGTATGTGAAGAACAGTAGAAAAAGTGACTGTCTTCTGCTGAGGAAGTCAGGGTAGTTTTTGACAGCAGAGATATAACATACTGAAAATATAATTGTAGAATATTGTAGTTAAAATTATGGGAATTTTAAAAGTTAAGCTTTTAGTACTTTATCATTGATAGAGGGTTCTGCCATTTTTTTTGAGGGTAAGATTACAATCAGTTTGTGACTTTTTCTCTTAAATACTATCCTTATGGGAGGAAGTTGCCAAAGGGACCTGTTATTACCCAAGTTCAGGGAAGGAAATTTAACAGGTTGATGACAAAGCATTCTCCTTTGTGTTTAGTATAAGAGAAGAAAGTAAGCTTTTATTTTATTTATTTATTTATTTTTTAACTCCTCATACGAGGATATTTTTTTCATTTATCTTCAGATAGAATAGGGGAGCAGGGGAGAGAAACATTGATGTAGAGACACATCAACTGGTTGCCTCTCGCATTACCCTGACCAGGGACCAAATCACAACCGAGGTATGTACCCGTGACCGGAATCAAACCCACAACTCTCTTGTCCACAGGCCACCGCTCTAACCACTGAGCAAAACCAGCCAGGGCAAAAGTAAGCTTTTAAATTCCCTTAAACTGTTGAACAGTAACAGTTATTTTATAGTTGGTAATGGCTTTCCTTACAACAGTATTGTGAAGTAGGCAAAGATGGTATTAACTATTAAAACCATTTTACAGATGTAAAGCTGAATACCAGAGAAGTAAATGCATTTGTTGTTTTTTTTTTAAGTCAGTGATTAGTAGCTAGTAAGTTGCAGAACTGAGACTACTTCCCAGGATTTCTGACTTCCAGACTTGTGCTTTTCCCATTATACTTCCCTCCATCTGAAATTCTCTTCTCCCTACCCTCCCTCTTCTCCATCCTAACTTCTGTTCTAGTTAAAACTCAGGTTCAGATACTACCTTTTCCAGGATTTTTGCCTTGATTTACATCCCCACCAAATGTTGTGTCACTCCTTGTGATTAACTTTTAGTACTAATCCTCTGTAATAGAGTAACTTTATTAGCCTTTAATAGGTTGTTTGCTCCTACAGGGTAGAGGCTGTTTCATTATATCCTTAGCATCTAACATGGAACATGGCTCAGGGGCCCTGGAATGTGTATTGAATGAAAGAATCCCTCTCAAATACTATATTGAATTGTTTGAAAATGGTTTAGTATATTACTAAGATCACTAAAAGGTATGATCTTAAGGATTTTTATTAACATTAGTTTTAAAGTTTGTTGTTTTGTTTTTTTTTAATCAGTTCTCAAAGTTCACCAGTGTAGTAGACAGCTTTTCTGACTGACATAGGAGTCCTAAGGCCATTCCACCTTCTTCCTAGATCTCTCTCTTGTCTTTTTTACCAAATAGCTTTTACTGATAGAAGTGTACATAAGATTAGATATTTATTGTTCATTACTGTGTGAATGGATCTGAAGGTCCTACTTTGACAACGGCAGTTATGTCCAAATATAGTTATTGGCATGTAATTACTCATTTAGTAAATGTAAAATGAGTGAAAATTGAAAACACCCTAAATATCCAAATCAGCATTTTAAAAATTAAGATTTGGCAATACTTTAGAATCTTTAGCCAGTAAGAGAGTCTGGGAGAAAAGTAGTGTTGGGTGTTGGAAGTTTTAAGAGGATGAGACTAAGTATTAAGATTATTATTTACCTTTGAGAGAGGGTATATTTTTAAGTAGTGTGGACAAATGCTAAAATGTCAAGACTATTAAAGAAAACATAGTCTAGAAGTGAGCTGAATGTGAGGACAGGACAGAGGTCAAGTGGGCTCCAGGAGTAGTTTGGAGAGGCAGATTTCCTCCTCACATGCTGACGGTGAACTGGGGCAAAGGTCTGGGTCTGGAGCAAGAGTTGATTAACAAAGAATATAGTGCAGATCTGAATTTGAAAAGTAGGGGGAAGTATGTGCTGAAGTATGATTTCTCCATATTGATACAAGTCATGAAACCAACTCCATTTTAGTACATGTACTTTATTCCCCCTTATCTTCAGGAGTACATCTTTGTTAAAAGTCAGCTACATAGTTGAATACATACTAAATACTTTTTTTGAAGATTGCTATTGCCTTATGAAGTCAGATTATAAGTAGGCTATGTTGAGTAGTAATTTATTTTAAACTAAGCTGCAAGTACGCAATTTCTAAAATTAGGTTTGTTTTTTCGTTTTCAGTAATGATGTAGACATGGAAACAGATCACTACTCCAATGGAGTTGGAGAAACTTCATCCAATGGTTTCCTAAATGGTAGCTCTAAACATGACCACGAAATGGAAGATTGTGACACCGAAATGGGTCTGCAGTGATATTTCTTACATTTTTAATAAAAAAAAAAAAAATGACTACAAGGTTATGTTTTTACTTGTACTGATTTACAACTGATGAGCATAAATCAAATTTAAAGATGTATGTGCCATTGGATTTGATAGTAATACACATTATTTCTCTTAAGCTTTCTCGTGACAGTGGGTTGCTAGACAGAGTAGGTTACTTTACAGTACTTTCTGAACTTAAGTGCTAGATAGTACCAATTCATTAGTGTTAAATATTTAAGGATATTTAAGGTTGGAGATATAGGAAGGTTTTGGGGTTTTTTTTGTTTTTATTATTTTTTATCCTCACTCGAGGACATTTTTGAATTTATCTTTAGATAGAGCAGGAGGGAGGGGGAGAGAGAAAGAGAGAGAGACATCGATGTGAGAGAGACACATTGACTGGCTGCCACCCACACAACCCCAAATGGGGCTGGGGACAAACTGCAACCGAGGTACGTGCCCTTAGCGGAAACCGAACCCTGGTCTCTCTGGTCCGTGGGCCGACACCCTAGGGCTGACACTCTAACCACTGAGCCAAACTGGCCAGGGCTAGAAAGGTTTTATACTTAATTTAATTATAACCAGTAAAGGTCAAATGGGTAGAGATGATTTTATAAATTCTAATCAAAGAGAATTTTTTAAATTCATTTAATGTAAATATATGTGAATATGCATAGTTCAATGTCTGGCACTTAGTAGGTGCTTAATTAAGTATGACTCCTCCTCCTCTCCCCCCTAAGTTAATTATCATGCTTAATTTTGCTTTGTTGATAACAGTGTGGTAAATTGTGTCATAAAGTTAAATCATCAGCATATTTTCCCATCAACTGGAAAGTGAAAATTATTGGATAATTTGTCAGAATTCCATGGCCAACATTAGACTTCTTAGTATTTTGAGGTTAAAAGGTATTTTTTTCAAATTGTTATGAGTATATATAAGAAACTGCTTTCTAAATGTAAACTTATTTTATTATTTAGAAAACCACCTGGTTGTTGGAGATTATGTGTTCTAATGTATAACTCACTTTTTCAAGCAAGGGGTATGATTAAAAAGGCAGCCTAGTTTTATTCTATCAGATAATCAGCAACCTCAACATTCAAAGAGTCATTTGAGCATAGTGATTAAGAGCAGGAGTTCTAGAGCCAGATTACCTGGATTCAAATTCTGCAACTGCCACTTACTAGCTTTGTAACCTTGGACAAGTTACTTAAGAGCTCTGTGCCTCGGTTTCTTCATCTGTAAAATGGGTATTATAATAACTGTCACATAGGCCATTGTGAAAATTAAATGAGCTAATCTGTGAAAAGCTAGTAGCACAAAGTGCTTATTAAATATTAACTATCATCTTCATTTGTGATTATGTAATGTAATTTAAAGTTACATTATTGATCAGTGATTATTGTCAACCAAGATATATACTATAAAATTATTTTCTACAAGTTAATATTTTTCTAAAAGAAGTGTAATTAACCCATTTTTAGTAGTATAATACGGTGACTTCTGTGTTTTATTGGAATTATTTAGCCTCTCAGCGTCCAGGAATCATTTAATTCTGTCTCTATTCTATGGCAGTTAAAGTAACCTGAGGGGCAATTACTAACTTTTTTCTTTTTTCTTAATGTTGCTTAATGTAGTTGTAGAGAATTGTGCTTAACTTTTTATGAAATTTTCCTTGACATATAGGTACATCCTAATACTGTGAAAGGTTGTCACCTGACTTTCAGCTGCATGCTAGATATTGGATCCTAGACTCTTGAGACCTAGATAAAGCATACCTTTTAGCTGCAAAGTTCCATATTAAATTAAATAAATCTGCATATTTAGAGAAAAATATTAGGTAATAGTTACTAAATTAAACATATAAAATGTTATAAGCAGTTCATGTTCATTTCTCCATTGTACTCCATTCAGTATAGTAGTAAAATACTAGTTTGTTTTGGTTACAGAAGTTGATTCAAGTCAGTTAAGACGCCAGTTGTGTGGAGGAAGTCAAGCGGCCATAGAAAGAATGATTCACTTTGGAAGAGAGCTACAAGCAATGAGTGAACAGCTGAGGAGAGAATGTGGCAAGAATACAGCAAATAAAAAAATGTTGAAGGTAAATTTGTTTTCCGTTGAAAAATATAAATGTGTCAAAGGAACTAAATTATAGTTTTGTAAAACACTGAATAGAGCTATAGAAATTCTTGTTGGACATGAACTCCTCCCTGGCTTCCTATTTGAGAGTGAAAGCATTTGATGTGTTTGGGCAGCTCTGCTCTACTGGAAAGAGTACTGGACTTCAAGTAAAAAATACAGATTCAGCCCAGCCAGTATGGCTTAGTCGTTGAGCGTCCACCCATGCACCAAGGGGTCGCTGGTTTGACTCTCGGTCAGGGCATATGCCCAGGTTGTGGGACAAACCCCCAGTGGGGGCATGCAGGAGGCAGCCAGTCGATGTTCTCTCTCATCGATGTTTCTATTGCTCTTTCCCTTTCCCTTTCTCTCTCTCTAAAAATAAATAAAGGAAAAAAATTTTTAAAAAAAAGGTTCAACCCAGTTGTGCCACCTATCAGCATTGTGTGCACTTAGTCTTCTCAGCTATAAAACTGGCAAAGATATTAGGAAAAAATGTGAGTGTGCTGATAAAACTAAATTTAAGATATGTTTATTTTAGTAAACACTGTTCAGAGTTGCAGCAAATTGCAGGTTTGATACATGGTTGTTTTCATTTTGATGATGACTGGTGAAGGATTTGGGTCATCTAGTTAATACATTTTCCAGTCTCTTCTGGATTGATGTTTATGATAGCTAGTAAGATTAATACAGTTGTTTTTGTTTTTGGGTTTTTTTTGACATTTAATATACAACTCTTTTTTTTTAAATCCTCACCCAAGGATATTTTTCCATTTATCTTCAGATAGAGTGGGAGGAAGAGAGGGAGAGAGAGAGAGAAACATCGATGTGAGAGAGACACATCGCTGGTTGCCTCCGGCACCACCTGACCAGGGCGGGGACCGAATCACAACCAAGGTAAGTGCCCTCTACCGGAATCAAACCCAAGACTCTGATCTGCAGGTTGATGCTCTAACCACTGAACCAAACCGGCCAGGGCAAGATGGATACAATTTAAGCAGTTTAGTAAGTTGGGCACAATTTTGTAGATCAGTTGAAGTTGCAATTTTCTTCTACCTTAAGTCAGCAGTGTAATTAGTTGTAGGGACATTCTTTTTTTTAAAGTTTTTTTCATATTCCAAAAAGTTCTACCAGCCCTGTAAGCCTATGAAACATTAACCTAGCCATTGTTTTGTTTTGTTTTTTTATCCTGCGTAAGGTTGGGCTCTAAGGTGATAAGTTACGATCATTTTCTTCTGAATGTTTTGACAGTTCAGAAAACAAAGGAGAGATGTGAGTAGTGATGCTTGGGTTTAATATACGTAGTAGGAAAGGGCAAGGCTCCTGTCATCCCTTCCTGGCTCAAACTGAGAGTCAGTGCACCAGTGGCAACACCTAGTAGAACTGAATATGGCATAATCAGCAAAACCAAACACCTACCTGCATTATAGCCTCAGTACAGTATCTGTGTAGACAGAACATATCTGCTTGACCTAGGATGGGTTAAGGACCCATATGAACCTCTAGTTAAAGGATGCAGTCTTGTATTTCCAGTAACTGAGGTGGGAAGAGAGGTGTATTCACTGTATTTAGGACTTCATCTGCTGGATAGCAAAATGCTATTCTAATAGTGACCGTTAGCTCTTAAAAAGTGGTTAAATTATGATTTTATGCTAAATAAAATTAGTGGATTGTGTAATTTTAACTATTTTTGTTTGCTTCCCCTCAGTTGTGGCTAGCCCACCTGTGCTAAAATGGTAGGGCGTTCCTGCAGCAGCCCAGTTTCGCTTGACTTTTTTTCTAGTTTTGTTGGTCTTCCTTTCCTCTTTCCTTGTTGTATTTTACCTTCCTAAGTCGGCCAGAGGCTCCCTGGAGAAAGACCTGACTTTGTTCGGCAGCTATTTATTGAACTTCTGTGGCAAGGCAGTGCTGTAGGAGTGAGATGTGTGAGAGAGCCCCAGCCAGCAGGGAGCTTTTCCTCCAGTCATTGCAGCAGAGGTAGAGCCGTTTTAGACTTACCTACCCTGTTTAGAAACTGCTACAGATTTTAAGCCAAGTGTAAGTACAGTTTGGGAGTCCTACCTAAATGATGTCACATTTCCCTCAGAAATTATTCCCACTAAGGTAATTTTTTTAAATAAAAAGTAACCCATAAAATGCCATTATTTTTCACAGATATTTTCAGTTTCATTCTTTAAAATCCCATGTACATATACTTTATGTAGTTAGTAATTTTAGTTATCCTATTTTGTATTCTTATTTGTCATAAAATTTTATTTCCAGTTTCTATATATTATTTACAATTACTTTTAAATGGCTACATGATATCTTATGTTGCTTTATCAGTTTATTTAAGCATTGCTCTCACTAGATTTTTTTTTTTTTTTTTTTTTTAGTTTTATTCTAATGCTTTAGTGAACACCTTTATACATATATCTTTGTGCTTTTCCTTAAAATTATTCCACTGGGATAAAGTAGTAATTATTGAATCAAAGGATAGATTTATTTTGGCTTGCTGCGTATTGCTCTCGTGTTGCTTCCCAGAACCTACCAGTTTACCAGTGCTAATGTGCCAGTGGTACCACTGCCTTAATTGCATTTCTTTGGTTACTATCACCAATTAAATTTTACAGCAGGATTTACAACATTGATGTTGCTTTGTTAATTTCATTCCCTTTGCAAGTAAAGGTTCTAGGCATTTACTACTAGGAAGTTTATGCTGTAAACTTTTGTATTTTTCAAGGTATTACTAGTTTTTTGCTTATAGCTTCACTGTACTTCTAAGCTATGTTTTATATGTTGCTATGTGATCCTTCTATAATCAAATCTAATCCTAATCCATATTACTCCTCTATTTAAAACCACATTGCCTTTTTGGCAAAAAAAAAAAAAAAAAATCAAGCTTTTTAGTGTGCATTCAGAGGCATTTTAGATCTAATCTCTTACCCATGGTTCCATCCATGCCTTCTCCTTTCTCTTAGCCCCAATGTCCATATAGCTTGAACCTATTTCCGTGATTGCATTATGTGACACAATACACTGTACATTTATAAGCAATACAGTATATGTTATTTATTTATATGTCTGTCTTCTCCACAAGACTGTGTGAGTCCTTGAAGCAGTGACAAGGACATAGTGATGGGTGTGTCCTCAATTATCTGGCTGCTCTGTCCAATAAATATTTGTTCAGTTGTACTGAAAATGATATAGCAGAATTTTAGACTTTTTTCCTCTTAAAATTTAGATAGAAAATTAAAACAAATGGCATCTTACTAAAATACAGCACTAGCTGAATGATACTAATCTCTTACTGCCTCTGTTTGCATCCCTGTATGGTGAACGTACAGGGATTGTAGTGTCCACCTCATAAGGTCATTATGAAGATTAAATGAAGTGATCCCCATTAGTGCTTGAAACATTGCCTCACACATTGCTAGTGCACTACATGGTAAATTACTACCATCATTATCATTATGTGTGTGTGTTTGTTTTAAATACTAGGTGAGGGGTGGGTAGGGAACCTTTTTTCTGCCAAGGGCCATTTGGATATTTATAACATCATTCCAGGGGTCATACAAAATTATCAGCTTAAAAATCAGCCTGCTATATTTGGTCAGGCTAATTTGTTGAGGCATGTGATGTTAGCTGGTATTGATTTTGCCTGTGGGTCAGACATTCCCCACTCCTAAGAATGGTCCTGATTTGAGATTTGGGACATTTTACCTTTTTGGTAGTATGTCCACATATATAGACCCAAGAGGATAGTTTTGTGCTTAAAGTTTTTATGTACCAATTAGTCCTTGGACAATCCTACAGGGTATCTTTTAAAATTTATCTGTAGTATGGGGATGATATCTCATTAGATGGTTGTGGGGTAAATTAAGTCTTGAGCAAAGCTCTTTGTTTGTTTTTTTTGTAAGAGTAGAAGGGAGGAGACAGACAGACAGAGGCATTGATTGGCTGCCTCCTGCTTGTACTGGGATTGATACCGCAGTCTGGGCATGTGCCCTGACCAGGAATCAAACCAGCAACTTTTCATTGCAAAGGATGACACTCAGCTGAGCCACACTGGCCAGGCAAAGCTCAGTCTTTAGAAATAATGTGATTGATTAGAGTTAGCTTTATAGGATATAAATTTGGATTGGGGGCATTCAGGAACACAACCTAGTAGCTTTGTGGGATGCATAAAATATCTTAAAAACTGTAGGAAGCAGGTCTTGTGATCAGCAGGTGTGTGAAGCCTCTTCCCTGTACCAAGCACTACGGGAAATTCGAAATAGTATTATCATTTTTTTTAATCTTAAAAGAACTTTTATTAGTAATTGGGGTGAAAAGTCTGATGTGAAATACACAGTCATGACAGTGGGGGAGACACGGGTTTATTTAGAAACATGTACTCTCTGTCTAGTAGCCATGGACTGACTGCTATATGGACAATTCTTTTTTTTTAAGAGAAAGGGAGGAGAGTGAGTTAGAAACATCAATGAGAGATAACATTGACTGGCTACCTCCTGCATGCCCCCCACTGGGAATTGGGCCCACAACCTGAGCATGTGCCCTGAGCGGGAATCGAACCATCAACCTATTGGTACATGGATTGATGCTCAACCAGTGAGCCACACCAGCTGGGCTGGACAATTTTTTTCTTCCATTTATCTTCAGATAGAGCAAGAGGGGGAGAGAGAGAAACATCAGTTGGTTGCCTCCCACACGACCCCAACTGGGGCCGGGGATGAACCGCAACTGAGGTATGTGCCCTTGGCTGGAATCAAACCCTGGACTCTTTGGTCCTCAGGCAGACACTCTAAGCACTGAGCCAAACCAGCCAGGGCTGGACAATTGTTTTATCTTCACAATACGGAGGCCAGTTTAGATGAGAAAGGGCAAGAATACAGTTAACCAGGAGCCTCTGCTCTCAGAACACTAGTAAGCTAATTAGAGGAATGCTGGAGCTGTACCTAGGACATAGTAATTTTTAGGAATTTCAGTCTTCCACTCTCTAGTCAGCATTTTGAAAGTTGCTACTGATTTACAATTTCCTCAGCACCTCTCCATGTATGTCTTCTGAACTGGGAAGGTGCCCTGTCTCTTAACTCTATCTGTAACTATATTATGTTGCCTCAAGATTAGGGCATTGCCTTTGGCAAAATAATAAGACATCATTTATTGAAAGATTAGAATGAACCGACATTGCTAATTTCATTTAGCTGTTAGTCCTCATATGACTGTGAAGGAAGGACCTCTTACAGTCCCCATTACACAGATGATTAAACTGACAGAGAGGTCCTTACTTACCAAAGGCCATACTAGTGATGCACACTGGTGATTGAGGCCAGTGTCTGAAACCACTGTATTATGTGCCTCCCATAGAAAGAAGACAGTTGTTTGAAAATACTACTGCTGTGTATGTCAGCTACTTTAGGAGGGGTGGCTTGAGGATGGTTGGAACTACTGAATATTCTTGAATGGGAGTCAGTTTAATTTTTTTATTACTGAGTTTGAGAGGATGACATCCAATGAAATGTGCCCAATTTCCACATCTGCTTGATAAAGGCAGGCCCTATCCTTTTAATGTCAAATTCCTATCAGTGGTAATAAATTGTAAATATCTGAATGTTTTGTCTTCCTTCCTCTTTACCTTAACCTGCTCTGTATATATTGTAGAGATAAGGGGAAGGTAATGAGAATGTGTGTTTACAAAAAGAAGGAAAAACAAATTAGGCTTTGCTGCATAATCTAGTTTAAATATATATATATATAAATGTAAATAGGTATGTCACAGTAGTCTAGTGTCTTAAAGCCATATTTTGCCTCTCTCTCAACTTGTAACCATGATTAACATAGTAGTTGAACTATCTGAATTAAAAACCAAATTGCTGTTTTCAACAGGATGCATTTAGTTTACTAGCTTACTCAGATCCTTGGAACAGCCCTGTTGGTAATCAACTTGACCCAATTCAGAGAGAACCTGTGTGCTCGGCCCTTAACAGTGCAATATTAGGTAAGTAAAGGCAAAAAGCTCAACTCAAAGTATTTCTTTGAATATTTGAGATGGTATTTGTGCTGGCATTTTTATTTTGGTAAAATCATAAGGGAAAGGTTTTCTACATTTTAAAATTAAAATTACCTTAAAATATAGAAACCTTCCTCCATTATTTCAATGCCAGATTAAATGGATTCAAATGGAATAAAAAAGTACATTGGGATGCACCCGGGGAAATTTGGAAATTAGAAATTTTTGTGTGCATGTATGGAAACATTTCTGGCCTGAGCCATCAGTTTTACAGCTCCCACCATGTTTAAGATGCAGGCACAAGGAGCTTCCAGGTGACTTGGGAATGCCCTGTCAATACTAACCCTTGGAGTCAAATTATATTTGCATTAAAGTTAAGCCTATTCAACTCCATGCCCTTACCAAATAAAAAGGAAAATAGCAATTTAAGTTGGTTTAGTCAGGGGTAAGCATGAAGTGAGAAATTGGAATTTGTTGATTGCCATTTCTATGAGTAATTCACTACAGAGTATGATTATAGTGTTTATATATTGAACACATACATTTTTTATATTAATTCTGTAACTATATTTTGTGCACTTACATTTAAACTCCATAGGATTGATTATGCAAAACTGTTGTTTTAATTTCTGGGCAATTCTTTTCAAAGGTAATTCAGATAAGTGATTTTCACCTGACTTTAGAATCCAGTTCCCCAGGTAAAATGGAATTCTAGTTTTAGTCTTCTCTGTGCAATTTGGCCCTGTTAGGTTTGGGGGCTTTTAGCAACACGTTTCAAACTATATTAGATAGATTAGAGCAGTTCCACAGAGTAGAAGGTATTTAGACATGTACACTTGTAATGAGGGCCTGGGCCCTCATATGGCCAGAATAAAAAGTAAGCAATTAATCTGTTTCTTTACCCTCAAAAATTTATTTTTTATTCATTGTGTGTTAAGGTCTCATACCAAAGTTTTGGAACAGGAGTAATGTCTTTGTGTTGTCATTTTCTTAGATTTAGAATTTGTATATAATAAATAATGTGAATTTTATGTTGTTAAATTGTGCTGTAATTTCTTTGGTTACAAAATTCATTTACCTCTATTGGTAAAAATAAGAGAACTTAGTAGCAATGCTGGGATTGCAGGGTTTGCTATACTTGTATTTTTGCTACATTCTAAGTAATCATGAAACCCTATAATTGCTTTATATTTAGGTAACATTCAGACTTGGAAAAAAATTTGTAAAGTGACCAGTTTCTTATATCTTGGGTTTTTTCAAGGGGATTCAGTTTTTAAATATTAAATTACTTGGGACCATTATCCAAGATAATATGTATTCTTACATATTGTACTACATATTATGTAGGTTCACCCATAAGTGCTGAAATTTAATAATCTTATTAATTTATTGAGTAAATAATTTACCAAGTGAAATTTTGGGAGGATGTCTGCATATTTATAAGTACTAAATTATAAAATCTATAAATAGTGCTTAAAGTTATATTGATTGTATGTAATTCTTACATATTTCGTATCCAAAAAAAAAATTTTTAATGCTTATAACCAGATGCCCCACTTGGGCAAAATAAAATTGTAATAAAGTACCTCTAGGCACTTACCTTTGAGCAAGGTTACTTCCCTGTAAAACTTCAGGAGACATTTTTGAAAGGATGTTTCCTTTTCAGTGTTAATTCCGTTATGTTGATTTTGTATAAAAATTAAATTGTTCCTCATTCAACTTAAGGCAGAATTATTTTAAATTATAAAGTCAATCCTACTTAGCGGTGGGGAAAAAACTGTTTATCACTATCAAAATGTAGCCAAATAGCATCTTGCCACAGGATAGCCGTACTTCAATAATTTTAACCCACCTTTTCAAACCACACTTCCACATCAATCTGTATATCTTTTCTTATTTTTATTCTTATTTTCTTAATCCTATCTTATTTCCTCTTGTACTTTTAAGTCCCAAACTTGCTTCCATATTATTTTTGCTTCATTCCTTCTAGGACTGTTCTTTCTCTGAGATTACAACCTTTGAACCAAGGGTGGAATTAAATCATATGGAGCCTTACCAGTCATTTATCACTGTTTTTTGTCCTTTGTTGTCAACTATATCTATAAAGGACTGATTAGTAATTTTACTAATTGGGAATCTACATAAACATAAAATTTAGACATCCACTCACAAAGGAAAATTACCAGATTCTATAAATTTGGCCATACAGAGTAATGTTGCTCTATTGTCTCTCATGGTGACCATTACCCCTTGCTCCCTACCAAACCAAATAATATTTTCCAATATGCCTTGGAGACAGGTGTGTGTTAATACTCACCCGAGGATATTTTTCCATTGAATTTTAGATAGAATGGAAGGGGGGGGGGGGAGAGAGAGAAAAGATTGATGTGAGAGACACACTGACTGGTTGCCTCGCGCACGACCCTGACCCGGGCCAGGGATCGAACCTGCAACCCAGGTACATGCACTTGACTGGGAATCGAACCCGCAACTCTTTGGGCCATGGGCCAGTGCTCTAACTGCAAAGCCAAACTGGTCAGGGCCATCAGTGAAACTTACTAAAAACCTTGGTTTTCTACTGTCAACTAACCTTGGTCAAATAGAAGAGAAATACTAAATATTCCTTATGCCCCCATTTAAATATCAGCCAAGAAATTTTATACTTCCCATCATAGTTAATACTAGGAGTAAAGGTTTAGGGTATCTAACACTTTAAAAGTCTATTTATGCAAGTATTTTTCTTAGTTGAACACCTAGTACCATATGACCTCGTCAGAGTGTACCTCCAAGGAATTAATCATTTGCTAGTTAACGATATATGCATTGGTAATTTTGTAAGTAATGCAATATTTTCCAGAAAAAAAATATTTTTTAAATGTCTAATTGCTGTTCCATTTTTAATCATTTTTCCTCAGAAACCCACAATCTGCCAAAGCAACCTCCACTCGCCCTAGCAATGGGACAGGCCACACAATGTCTAGGACTGATGGCTCGATCAGGAATTGGATCCTGTGCATTTGCCACAGTGGAAGACTACCTACATTAGCTATGCATTTAAGGAGCTCACACTTATACTGTGGCATATAGTCAACATGGAAGTAGACCAGCTCTGCTGATTTGAAATTTAGATTTTTTTTAATTATGTACTGGGGACAGGTTTTTGTCGCTTTACATTGCTTCCTAGTTTACAGCATGATGCAAATGATTTTCTAACTTAGTGTTAGGAGAAATTATTTTCCATCTTTAACCTCTTAGTTGTCTAAGAGTTAAATATTAACTGAATCTCAGACGTTCAAATTTATCATCACAAATTCTTTAAAACAATTACCTAAAAGAAACCAAAAAAATCCTGCCTTCTTTGTTGGGGGGAAGAGAGGGGAAGGAAATGGAACAAGTTGTGTTGTGTTAGCATGTGGGTGATGTAAACTTCAAATTGGGAGACGTTCCGACCCCCACTCCCATATAAGCATTCAATCAGTGTAACTTGCAAAATGCATAAACATCTGACAGTTTGAATTTATAGTGTTGATGGAAGAAATCATTTTTAATGTGTACTGTAAAACTTGAAATACTCAGGAGCTGAGTGAATACGTTTGTTGCTACTTACAATCCCGACCTGTTAGTCCCAGTAGTTTTGTTTTAACATGGTCTTTTCAGCTTTGTTTCCTGTTTAACTACCAACGAATTCTGTTGTAGACTCACAAGTTTAACTTGTATTATAACAGTATTATATGTCAACGGTGTGGTTATGACCTTTATTTATATAAAAACCAAATATTTAGTCAATTTACCGTGTCTTAATTTAATCTTTGTACAACTTCCATTTTTAAGTGCTTAAATGAGTACTATATTGCAATAAAAATGTAGTGATATAATTAACCAGCCATTAAAAATTTACTTCTACAGATGTTAGTGTCAACTGAGTTTATATATTAGGTACTTACATACTATTTATGATTAATATACAATTAGAGTAATTAAAATGAATGACTTTTACTATAAATCTGAATTCCACAACCTAAAACTGTGTTCGATTTACAAGCCTCCCTGTATTAAGGTCAAACCTGATACTGTGACACAGAAAGAAGAGGAATTAATCTCTTACTTTCATAATCACAATAAGGCATGTTACTTGCCAGTAAAACAGACCCCCAAACCAGTTAAAAGTACAGTTAAAACAAGTTGTTCAAGATGATGACCATATCCTTTGGTTGACCATTATTTTGTACACTGAAGCTTGAACCTTCTTTAAGAAAAGTAGGTATTTATCTACATTTCGATATTGTACTTTTACAGCTACTTCTCTTCCTCATTCCATATCTTGTGAAGCAAATGCTCAGTAGCATCGTAGCATCAAAGCATCTGAGAGAGTAGGGCATCTGACAACTGCAGTTGAAAAGACTTCCTGGATGCTCATTTCTCCTCCTCCCTGCCATATACCCACCCTATGGGATGGGGAGGGGTAGAAGAGGTATTATTACTGGTGGTGTTTATATTCAATTAAATGGATCAATACTTATAAGAATAAATGAAAACAATTCCTTTTAAACTGCTCTATTTCTTCCTGGACCCTCAAAGACTAAAGGTGCAATTGTATTCCAGAAGGATGAAATGTGATGGGTACTTCCCCAAACAGAGGACTTGTAATGACCTTTTAAAATTATTTATAAATGATTTATTGGATTTTTTTAAGACAAATTAATCTTCTAAACTAAATAACTGAGTTCTATACATACAAAGCTCTCATCCTTCATTTAGCCTTGATTTACTTCTTCGAAGTTTTCATCTTTCTGACCATCCACCGTCTTTTAAACCTCTTGGCATTTTGTTTTTTCTGGGTTCCTAGAATAGAAAGTTTGTGCAGTAAGACTTAGAAATATTAAATTCCCAAGAAAGAATTTAAAAATTGTTATGATCCTCTATATGAATATAAATACTAAAATTAGATCTATTGAACTAGATTTTTTGTCAGATGTCCATACACACTACATTGACCTGTTTTTCAGAAGCAACTTAAAAATATTAATATATAGAAGCCATTATAAAAAGATAATTCATAATTGAGTATTTACTATCTCCTTAAAAAGAACATTATTCAATATATAAAACTATCAGAGCCAAGAAAATAAAGTGGACCTTACCCCAACCATTATTCAAAAACTGGGCTGCAGCCTTTTTCTTTGGTAACCTCTTATTGTCAAGAGACAGGAACTTATTTACTAGAAAAGAGAATTATTTATCATTTCTTTGTTTATTTTGCAATAAAAAGTGAGAAAAACAGTTCATAAGGAAATTACCAGTAGTTCTGTTGGTTCCTGGACCATATAAAGAATTTTGTATGAAGGCTCTGGCAGCTTGTTGCCTTGAATCTCTCAGGTCTTGATCTTTCAGCCTTAGGGCCAAGTAGCTTTTATTCTGGCTGGTGATCAATACAAAATGTCAAAATGAATCGGGTTTATAACACACTGAAAATAAAGTATTTTTGTTGTCTCAAAAAAAGTTTAAAAAATCCTTATTTTGTATATGCACAGATAAGATAAATAAAACTAAATTACAGGGCTATTTTGTAAGAAACAGGCTAATATTCACAATTTAGTGGAGCAAATATTTTGTTTTTATATAAGTATCACAATTGGTTTTCCCACAAACGATCCGATCTGAAACTGCTTACTAATTAAAATATTTTCACACATAAGCCAACATTCTCTCTCAAGGGTTACCTTTATGTCTTGCATGAAAAAAATACTTCTTACCCAACAGACTGTACTTTTTGTACTTTAGCTTTCTTGGAGTCACTTCCTTTTTCACATTCTTCAATTTTCTTCTGCAAATTAACTAAAAAATTGAGTTTTATTTCTAGTTAGCACTTACGTAAAAATAAATTATTTCCTGTTAAATACCCACTTGCACCAATTTGGATCCACTTTTTATTTGTAAGAAATAAGGCAACAGGAACAAGCTAAACCTGGTCAGTCCTATTCCCATGTCTCTAAGGGCCAATAACATCAACTACAAATGCACTTGACAGTTAAACGAGAAGATTATTTAAATTAGGGTAGTTCATACCTTCTTTTAACTTTCCTGGTGATTTCTTTATGCTAAGGGAGAACAACAATATAAAAAACAAAACAAAACAGATTGGAATGGCAGATAATATAGATTACTCAACTTGTTACACAATTAAATCTGGTTTTACAAATAAGATACCCCCTTTTCATTACCACCACCCTCAGTTTTGATTCAGGATCTTGAATAAGTTTTGGAAAGCAAGTCACTCCCCAAATTCACAAATACCAGTCAGCAAACTAGTAAATATTGGATGGAAGTATCTTCTCAGAATTTAAAATCTGAAAGCGTATCAGCAGACTTCCAAAGAAGCTGACTGCTGTGGTTAATGGAGTTAAAGTGTAAGACTTAAGAATGAGTTATACATCAGTTGAAATACAAAGTGAAAGGTGGTAGGCTGGCCTCATTTTATTTGGAGAAATCACAAAGGATTAATTTAACAGTTTAAGCACAAGAGACAAGAAGGGAGACAAGGACTAGGCTTGACAATTCTGGTCTGAGAGACCAATGAAGAATGACAAAACAGTATGAGATGCCTATACCATGCACAGTAACCAAAAAAAGCTAAACAAAGTTGGGAGTAATGGGGTGGGTGGAGTGAGAGAATGAAGATGTGACATTTGAGTTTGGTTATAAAGTATAAAAGGGGTATCTGACACCAAATGCATTTGTTTTTATGTTTAATGTATTCGCGATCTGAGTAGCTCTTTGGGAAAGTTCTATAGAAAAATATGAAAGGTCAAAGATATAGGTCTAAGCTTCTGAACTTAAAGCATTAAGGGGAGACAAGAGATGCCTAAATTCGGTAAGGTTTGATTGATTCCATGGGATAGATGAGGAAGAGGATGACTACAGCATTTGTTTTAAACATTCAGTGGATGGCAAAGCTGCTAAATGAAATGGGGAATGAGGAGGAAGGACAGGTTGGCAGATAAATCAAGTATGGGACAAGTTGAGTTTTAGGATGAGCCTGTCATTTAAACACTAAATGATAAATGTCAAGACACTTGTTTTATTCACCACCTACCCTGCGCCAGTACAATGACATACACAAACAATTATTGAATAAATACTCTGGGATCAGGAACTCAGAAGCTAGAGTTGGCAGTGGGAGTGAACAAAAAGAAACAGTGAAAGACTGAAAAGAAGTAAAATACTTCCTTCCACCTTTCCCACCAAATTCAGATATCTACTCTTAACTTTTTAATTCAGGTTTTTTAAAATTAAATTATATGGATTCAAATAAATGTACCAACATGTTTCTTAAAGATGGGTGTATGTAAGCAAGTAATATAACAAGATCCATTACTTACTTTGTCTGTGAAGCTGTAGTTAACTTCTCTAGAATAGTGTCTGGAAGGAGTTTCCTTTTCTTAAAGACATTTTAAAAGAATGAAAAGTGAGGTGCATGACAATATATTCCGGGTTGCTTCTGAAGGGACAGCTTTGGGGACAGCCTTACAGCCTAGGCAAATGAGAAAGCTAAGCTGACCACTCCTCCGCCATCTCTAGGCGGTGGGAACACAGAGCCCATGCCACACTCTTTGGAAGACCTGGTGAAGATCGCAAAGGGGCCAGTCCTCAGGTCACTGAGGCACTGAAGGCAACGTCATGTCCCTCTGGCAGAGCAATCATACTCTGCACAGCCCATAGTTTACCAAATGCCTCAATAAATTCTAACAGCGACCCCGTTGTGGATACATGTACTACCCTCCGTGAGGCGCAACGCCTGGGGTGCCAGGGCGAGCTGCACTGCCACAACTCTTCCCACTCCCACTTTCGATCGGTGGACAGCAACGCGTACGAGTATCCTGTTTTCACCGATGTCAGAAATACTTTCTATCTGCTCCCATAATCCCACCATCTTTGCAACAAACATGGGAATTCTACCCCAAGCCGGGTGGTCTTAAAAAGGAGACGCCCCCTCCACTCGAACCTTCTGTTCGATGAACAGCTCCTCGCGGCGCCTCCTCTTCTCCTTCAGGAGTGTTTTATCCCTGGGAGGAAGGGGGCAGGTCAGTGCGGGCAGAGACGAGGGGGGCGGAAAGCGACGGCTCCCCGGCCCGGCCGTCGGCTCCCAACCTGCGCACGGTCTCTCGAACTCGCCGCTCCTCTTCTCTCGCTTCCGCCTGCGCGCTGGCGAAAGTCAGTTCCTCCGGGGCCTCGTCGTCCAACTCGTCGTCCCCTTCCTCGTCGTCCTCCAGCGGCTCGGCGGCGGCGCCGCTGCTGGGCTGCCCGAGCAACAGGCCGTGCTCCGCCTCCTCCTCCGAGGCGGGCTGGCCCTCGTCCACCATCGCCGACGCCGACGCCGGGGTGCGGGACGCGCGCGGCCGGAGCTGCACCATGGCCCACGTCGCGCCGGACCGTCTTCCTCTGACCCGGAAGTAGCTGTCGGAAGCCGAGCGTGACGTGAAGAACAAGCGACACCGTTTTAATCGCTCCCCGCAGGTTCAAAGCCCCACTGACAGGAAGCGGAAAACGGTCCTGCGACGAGCGAGGGCGCATGCGCAGGACGGGGAAGGGCGTGGCCTAAAGAAAACGGGGGGTTGTTTCCTCCTTCTGTCACGAAGGCTGCGCGCTCGGGGTCGCACGATTTCTCCGCCGCTGCTGTAGAGCCGACTGTGAGAGCGGTGGGCAGGGACTTGTTTCCAGGCTGGGGAGGTCCTCGTGCGCCTTCTTGGCCGGGGTGCTGAGACCAGGCTTGGACGGGTCCCCGCGCTCCTCGAGGAGGGCTGGTGCGGGTCACGCCATCCGGTGCCCGCAAGCCCCAGCCCTGTCGCCGTGCTTAGCACCAGGATTCGCTCGGTCGATGCAGTTCGTCAGTATTTGTAGATTCGACTCCCTTGACGCCGCAGTCCCCGAGGAAGTGGCGTTTCAAAGGGGCGTTGACAGGCCTCAGTCAATTCTCTGCGCCAGGTGTGTGCTTGGCGACTGCGGCCGCCGTTTTCCAGGCTCCCCCACCACCAGCCCCTCGACCGCCGTCCGTGCCTGTGTGGTGCTCATCGCTGACTCCTTCCAACAGCTCATTGTCTGGGCCCCCACCCCATTTAAATGTAAGCTCGGAGAGAGAGGGTCCCATCTAACTCCCTGGTGTAACCGCAGGGCCCTGAACAATGGCTAGCCCATCGCAATTCCTGATTCCGGGGAAAGAATGACTTCACCATACTCAGTGAGTGCAACCCTAGTACTATTTCCCCCTAAGTATATTTCCTTTTCTGGCATACATGGCCCTTCGTGACCTGCGCTTGACTTCTCTTAACCATTACACAATACTAAATGATTCAGCCGTCCTTCTGCGGACAAAGCAAGCTGTTTCACACCTGCCACGCATTTGCACATGCTGTTCCCTCTACTGATACACACTCCCCCACATGGAACTATTTATACCTCAAAAACACGGCGGGGGCTGACTTCCTTCAAAAGCCTTTCAAACAATTTAACATCTACCCCATCCCCATTCTTCTGCCCATCTCTAATTACATTTTCCTCTAAAATTTGCACAAATTTCTATTACTGCAGTTTCTACACTGTATGATAATTCACATGACCGTTGCCCTAACCATTCTAGCAACTTCTTGATGGCAAGGTCCATGTCTTACTAATTTTATTTCTAATGCCTATCATACGATAGATATTCAATAATATTAAATTGAATAATTTCTACTTCACAAACGTTTTGTATTTTCAATTATCCTTTCATTTCCTCTAATAAAACCACAACATGAACAAAAATGATACACACACACACACAAAGCTAGTGGTACCAAAGGCCCAATTTGAGAGGAGTTGCAAAGAACAGTTCTGAAACCCTGGGCCTTGGTCAGATAGAAATTAAAAATATAATCAGACTCTCCGAGACAGTGTGCTGGCTTTCAGCATTGCTAACACTAGGAAAATGTACAAAGTAACTTGCAGAAGCCCAGCAACAAACCTCTTACAAGAGAATGATGGTGCTTTATGTACAAAAACTGCGTATTACAAGTCCCTTCAGTGTATGTGCCTTGACCCACCCACGTGAAGTGTGAATCGAACCCTAAAGGTTGACCCTTCAGACTCCCCACTTACCCATGCAAAGGATCTCTGGGATGTATTAAAAGGTATGACTTGCAAATGCAGTACGTTTTATGTGATAATGTCTTGTCTATTTCCACAAAAGCCAAGGATGTAACAAATGCAGTTTTGTAAGGGGCTGAGGTGATGTGACCAGGTGTGTAATCACCCAGGAAGCACCTGATCCATTGTTATGTATGACCTTCCTACACTGTTTGCTAAAGGCCACTCCTTCCCGTCAGGCCTCTGATGCTTGCCAGACAACAAGCAGGCATTCCAAGGGCCTGGGTGCTGCATTAGGTGGTGGGGCTTGACCTAACAACTGGATTCTTGCTACTTTCCTCCCAGGTAAAGTCCCATGGAAAAGACTTCCTTCAGAATTCAGTGTCTGAGAAAGGCCGGCAGACCCTGCAGGGACTGTATGCGTCTGTGTTTATATTAAGAAATAGTCAAACATCACCTCTTCCTTTCCTCCTAGGCTGCTAAGAAGGCTAGTACTGCATTTTAGGCAGTTGTGTTTACCTTTGGAATCTATATAATATGCATCATTTGGTGGGAGTGTGTCTCATCCTGATTTTCTACCTTGTTGCTACTTTTCCTTCCTTGCTTGAGTTCTTGTTCTAAACTGTCCCACATACTTAGAGGTAAAGCAGCCAAACAAGGCAAATATGGGGGGGGGGGGAGTTCTCAACAAAGCTCTCTCTTGGGGTCACATCTTTATACAATAAATTACCTACTGTAGAGAGCAATTTTATTTTCCACCAAAGCATGTGCAAAAATCAGAAATATCAAATGTCTACTTCTATCTTTGCCAAATAGCAAAAATACATTTGGGATAAGTACATTTTTAAGACAATCAAATTAGAATTTTACCCCTCCCAATAACCAACCAAATACATCAGAGGTATCTCATTTTTAAGTTCAAACCAAATAACATGCATTAACTTTACAGTTCTCTGACTTCTTGTAACTACATTTGCTACTGTTACCTCTAAGGCCCTACCACTTATCAACAGGTTGGATCCCAGCCAAGAAACAGAGGCTATTTTTAGATCTTCCAATATTCAGCTCCTCATCCACAAGATAGAGTCTCCTTTGCTTGTGGCCTGGTACTTAGATGTACTGTAATTTCTTCCTTCCCCAGGACAATTAAGAAACCGTTTCCGTTTCATGAGGAGCCAGGGCTTCAGGAAGAGTCCTACCACAGGGCCCCTGGAAATGAAACCTGGAACAGAAGGACAAGTACAGCCGAGTTAGGAGCAAGTCACACATTTCTTAATTACAGCCAGAGTAAAATCTCAATTCTCACAAATGTGGTATTATGATTTTTTATGCCCCCTTCTATCATTTGTTTCTGACTGCTCAAGATGTACACATTTCACTATGGGTTGGCCCTTGTAATCAAGAGAATTTAGGAAAGGAAATGCCTAGAAAGTAGGTGGTATAAATAAGAATTTTATTTTAAGGGGCAGGAGGTGACATGATAGTAAAGTGTAGTTCATGATTAGATTGCCAAACTCATAAGTGAAGTGTGTTTTTAATTGAATCTAGAGAGAAAGGAAAAAAAATATCGATTTGTTGTTCCACTTATTCATGCACTCATTGGTTGCTTCTTGTATGTGCCCTGACTGGAGATTGAACCTTCAACCTTGGTATATCAGGACTACACTCTAATCAACTGAGCTATGGGGCCAGGGCCATAATTAAAGCTTTTAAGTTTTGCAGTATCTATATACTATATTAAGACAGCTTTCATGTGTACTAAGGACAAGAGAAAAATAACCTCATGCATCATATAGACCATAAGGATTTTAGTTGAGTCATCAGGCCTCTCAAACCATCCACTGGACTTCATGACTAGCTCTAACTTGTAGTCAGAAAGGCAAAAAACAGCAAAAGAAGAAAAAAGAAAGAGCAAAGAGGAAGAAAAATAAATGATTTCTTCTTTCTTCAAAAGAAAACAGGGCAGGGGAAAAAAACTAAGTCTGAATAAAAAAGAAAAGCAGGGTTTTCTAGTATATTATTAATAAGAAAACCTATTGAGCACAATTAAAAATGAAAAAAGCATTTGCTCAATGTAATTCATCATATTATCTATTCTTGATACAGTACAAATGGTGAATGCCTTAGACCTTAAATACTCTGTTCCCTCCGTAGGATGCCACTAATGGACATCTCTGACCAAATGGTATTCCCACTACTGCTATGCGCAGTGTGTTGAACAATGGCCACTAGAAAGGTCCTCACCAGCACTGTGGTTATAGTACCTTGAGGACTTTCCAAGAATTACAGCCAGGCATGGAGAGCTTTTAGGGAATTCCCATATCCTCAGTCCCTGATGGTCTCCTTCTTAAAAAAAAAAAAAATGAGCCCTGGCTGGTTTGGCTCAGTGGGTAGAGCGTCGGCCTGCAGTCCAGAGAAACCCAGGTTCAGTTCCCGCTAAGGGCATGTACCTTGGTTGCAGTTTGTCCCCGGCCCTGGTTGGTCGTGCGGGTGGCAGCCACTCGATGTGTCCCTTTCACATCTATGTTTCTCTCTCTCTCTCTTCCTCTCTCTCCCTCCCACTCTATCTGTATAAAAAATGGAAAAATGTCCTTGGGTGAGGAAAAAAAAAAAAAAAAAGATTCTCAAGTGCCCCTTTCCACCTCACCTTTCCCTCACTTCACAGAGGTCAGCAGTGCCCCTCACTCACCCCAGATCTTATGATGGTGCCTTAACCCAGAATGCGAAAACCTATGGGGTGCCAATTAAAGAGCCATTTGAAATATCAGTGTAGATGAAAGAAAACAAGTGATTTCTAAAGACTGGGTGTTACATCCTTATGCAAACAGGGTCATTTCATTCTTGCTTTCAATAAAATTGAAAGAGGGTCTATTAGGATGGTCAGTTAACAGATAACAAAATAAGATGTAAAGTTACTATGGTATTTTGGCATATTACTTAGAAGAAAGTCCAAAATCTGAGTGGCAGTGCCATTGTCAGGGTTTATGTTGACCTGGGCCCCGAGGTTAAGGCGACTAAATGACTCCACTTTTATCATCAATGGACCTTCCTCGATATTTTTCCAATAATAGGTTAACTACCCCTAGAAGTAAAGGAATTCTGCCTAAGATTATAGTTGCCTCACGTGTTGGGAGGCATTTGCAGTTTCCGTATCGGTATTTGCAGGCATTTGCAGGTACTGGTGAGCCCGGTGAATAATGCTAATTTTGACTTCTGTAATCCCTGTCACACCTCACACCCACTACTGTACCAGTCCCAAAAGGGGATGGGGCTTCTGTCTTTAAAATCAGACCAGAAAGGCCCTGGCCGGTTTGGCTCAGCGGTTAGAGCGTCGGCCTGCGGTCCTGAGAGACCCGGGTTCGGTTCCCGCTAAGGGCATGTACCTTGGTTGCAGTTTGTCCCCGGCCCTGGTCGGTTGTGCGGGTGGCAACCACTCGATGTGTCCCTTCACATCGATGTTTCTCTCTCTCTCTCTGTTCCTCTCTCTCCCCCCGACTCTACCTGAACAAAAAATGGAAAAATGTCCTCAGGTGAGGATAAAAAAAAAAAAAAATCAGACCAGAAAGAAAAATCTGGGGCTGAGGATCTGGGGAGCTGTGCCCGCCCCAGCCCGCCTGTGTAATGGAGCGCTCCCTTACAGTTCGGCTGTGGGTCTCGGTTACCTCCCTGCCACTTACAACAGTGTGGCCCAGGCCTCTCAGTACGTCCATCTCTAAAAAGCAAAAACTAAGAATTACAGTTGACATCTGAAACGGTAAAATTGGGCTTGGCCAATGAAAATCTGCCCCACCACCCCTCAGATGGGAATAAGAGACACAGATAAAGGCAGCTGTGGTTAATAGTGTGGATGAAAAGAGGCCACAAGCTCATCTGACAAGCTCAGGGGAGGCCTGCGTGGCAGCCTCACAAACTCAGGGGTCTAAAAAATAACCACAAAGGATGTTCTGAAATTAAAACTTTTAAACTAAAAGCAGTTTGTGGTGGGTAGTCCTGTCCTAGACTAGAATCTTCCCTGACAAAGTCAATCTTTACCTAAACTGAGCCTATTGTCTTTTTGCATCTATGATAATATATCTTTAGAAAATCAAAATAACTTTTCTTTTTCTGACCCCTCAACGCGCAGGCCCCACTCTGCAGAGACCACAGATGCCCTTGTTACTGAGCTAATTGTTGACTGTCAACTGTCCTGTACCCTCCTACGTAAAAGATGTGTGTGTCTATCATTTTACTTTTCTTTTTGTTTTAAAATCCTCACCTGATGATATTTTTTCTATTTATCTTCAGATAGAGTGGGAGGGAGGGAGAGAAAGGGAGAGAGAGAGAAACATTGATGTGAAAGGGACACATTGACTGGTTGCCTCCGGCACAACCCCAACCAGGACCGGGGACAAACCACAACTGAGGTACTTGCCCTTGGCCATAATCGAACCCGCAACTCATTGATCTGCAGGTCCATGCTCTACCGCTGAGCCAAACCAGCCAGAGCTATCATTTTACTTTTCATCCAATCCCAGAGGTTTCCCGGCTTTGCTTTCTCCAACCTCCCTAATCTATCACCAGTGGATTTCATGTAACCTACTTGCACCTCCTCTTTTGATTGTGATGTATAAAATAAGGGGCAATACTGCCATTCTCTGGAGCGTTATCTCAAGCCATTGAGATTTTACTTCCCAACAATTGTCGACAATTAGGCTCAAATAAACTTACAAAAATTCTTCATAGGTTTGACTGTTTCTCACATTGATAATAGGAAACAATATTTTCCCCCAAGACAAGCTGCAAAGAATCATGGCGACTCAAGTAACTGCATACTTTTTACTCACTGAGGAATGGTGTCCTCTAAAATCAAAGTAGCAGAAACTTTGCTGTTTGACATTAAAGCAATAAGGAATGAAATATCCCCTTGTGCTTAGAGGATCTAAGTCACTTGGCCTTGATTTTTGACCCAGGTGCAAAGCTGCAGATAAGGGGTGTCTGGGTACCATGGTCCACTTCTCCCTCTACTTTGTCATTTCCAAGGACACTGGACCTTGAGTCCACTTTGCCGGCCAGACCAGTTGAACCCCTTTTCACAAGCCCAGCCCGTTGCCGAATCTATCAAAAACTGCTTCATTTAAATTTCATCCAAACCACACTCTGCCAATAAATCCTGTAATTCCATCTTTTCCTTTGTCTGGGGACAGGCCCCCTGGTTCCTCTGGAGTGGAGTCTCCCTCATTACATTCCTGTCTTCTCAGATCACAGGCTCGTTTCTGGTGACCACAGGCTACCACGGGAACTCTGTCTCCTTCCAACCGTTCCTACTCTCCAGCCACGCACACATGAGCTAATTCAAAAAACTCGCATCCCATGCCTCTATTAAGAGATGCAAAATTTCCAACAAAATTTACTTTTACGGAAGTATTAATCAAATTTATCATTTCTTTGTTGTTTTAAACAACTGCGTACTGCAAGTTGCTGTAGTGACAATTCAATCTAGGAAAAAGTGAAGGTTCAAGGAAATAGAAAAGAATTAAATAATTCATCTGATATTTTGTTGCAGAATTATAATAGGGTAGTCAACAACAGCTTTCAAACATAACAATATACCACATTAGTACAAATGTCTGTGATGGAAGTAGAACGGAAATACAAGTTCAAACAGAGAAAACAGGGAGGCTCTTACTGTTAAAGGGGCTGTGTATTTACTCTGGGAATGGGCGAGGGCGGCTACCAGGCACTTGTGGCGTTCAGATTTGCTTGGATACATTTAAAACCACACTAAGGGCAGTTCTATCTTCAAGTATTTTATTTCCAGTACACTTGGAATCACATCTTTTTTCATGATTTTGATATAAAAGTTTAGATGCCAAGTTCACAAATGTGACAGAGGTACGTGAACAAAAATGTTTGAAGACCCCCATTCTAGCACCCACGCACCTTCCCCTACCCCTCCAGCTGCAGAATAACCAAGATGACTGTGTTCCAGAATGAATGTGTTCGTACCATTTTTATTGGTTAATGTAATTATCCAATTTAATTTAAATTAATGTGGTAAACTGCAGCAATAAAGCTGTTAAAAGAGGGTTATTTCTAGGAATAGTACTCAAATGCTTTGGAAACACAGTGAGTCCCTAAAAATAATTGTTAAATTAGCTGTAGGTGTAAAAGACGATGGGGGGGGGGATAGCATCATAAGTTTCTTTTTGTACATTCTTTCTCCACTTAAAAAAAGAAAATATA